TAAGTTATCAAGTTAGTTCAAAATTTGTTACAGCTCTAGAGTCAATGTATAATATCGTTAAACAATGTGTTAGATATAATGGTAAAATGTCGGATTTTTTCAACTCGTTTATAGGATTGAAACAGGGAGACCCGAGCTCAAGCCTGATGTTTCTACTGTTCGTTAATGATATATTACAAAATATTGATACTAATTTAGAAGGAATATTTACAATAAATGAACTTAAGTTTTTCCTCTTGATGTTCGCTGATGACGCGGCATTATTTGCGCACTCACCCGAAACACTGCAGTCTATGCTAAATGACCTTAACCGGTACTGCCGTACGTTGGGACTAACAATCAATACGAACAAAACCAAAGTTATGGTATTTGAGCGTGGTTGACATACTCAGTGTAATATATTTCTTAATAATACACAGCTAGAAGTAGTCCCATCATTTAAGTTTTTAGGAACGCATCTCTTCAAAAATGGATCGTGGTATAGAACACAAATTAGAATATCAAAACATTCATCATTTGCGCTCCATAACCTATTTATAGTTTTTAAAAAAAAATTGAATTACCTGTGAAAGAAAAATTTCGTCTGTTCGACAGTTTAGTAGGTTCTATATTAAATTACAATGCATCAGTCTGGGGGTATCATGATGGCAACCAAATTGAACAAATACATTGTAAATTCCTTCGAAAATTGTTACATGTAAAACGATCGACAAATCTATACGGCTTGTATGGTGACCTTGGGCGATATCCCATGAAAACAGCACGGCAAATGATAATTATCAAATATTGGATACAAGTTTTGAAATCAAACAACCCATTAATTATAAATACATGTATATATGAAATGTTGAAAAACGACGCAAACAATTGTAACTCATACAACGGTCTTAATTGGGCACATCATATTAAAGTTTTGCTTGAAAAAATAGGATTAGGAAATGTGTGGCTTTCTCAGAATCCCAATGATATCAGTTATGTAATTATTAAGCAGCTAATATAAGATATCTTTAAGCAATCGAGGTATACTACAATTAACAATTCTAATAGGTTATCCACTATTGTTTATTCAAACACGAATTTGAAACAGAGAAGTACCTGCAGTTAAACATGGACACTAAATATAAAACTACAATTACAAGTTTAGATTATATACAAATAATTTAGCCATTGAAACTGGACGATATAACAATACTGACCGACAACAACGATACTGTACTCAATGTAATATGAATATGATTGAAGATCCTTATCATTTTTTACTTGTTTGTCCTAAAATACAGACAGTTACGAATCAAAACTTTCACCCCGTATTTTTGCAGATGGCCATCTATTCAAAAGTTCACTACTTTAATGTCAACAGATTCTATAAGATCAATTTACAAATTAGGTCGATTTTTATATTTGGCTTTCAGAGAAAGACAATGATACCATAAAGAAACTAGACTTAAAAATGTTTGTTAAATCTAAATTGTTAAACTTTTGTTCTTCTGGTAAAGTTTGTATGCACCACTATACATGTTTATATTTGTATGGCTATAAATATTGTTTGTATTTAATGCCAATAAAATATTCTGTTCTGTTCTGTTCTATTATCCCCCCCACTCCCCCACAATATAGCGATATTTTACGGTGACTATTGTATACTGTAATGCACGAGTTTCTCGACTTCACATATTTTCTATTGTATAGAGAACAATAGAACAATAACCGGTCGGTATCTATTTGCAGACCTGTTAACCGGCCGGTAAGTGATTTACTAGACCGCTTTTAACAAAGGAGCCGGTAGGTAAGCAATGTTATAAAAAACAGTAAACATTAAAATGACCTAAAATTTGTCCCCCTGATGAGCAAAGTAAATTGTGCGTCGTTTTGTGTTGCCATTGTACTGATTAGCGGTAGATTTTGCGATGTCCTAACTACGGGTGTAAATTTTACAGCAATATTGAGACATTAAACGAAGAGTTAAAAGGTGTTGCGACATATAACGGGCAAATAATAATTATTTTATTTATCACTTAAATAAACTAGCTGAAATCTGAATTCACTAGATAATAGTCTATCTAAATTTCGTCATGAATTATCACTCATTTTAAATATTTTTGTGATTGTTTAAATACCAAACCATCACAATTCACATATTCCTGATATAAAACTATCTCAATGTAATTTGTGTTATTGACAACTAGGTGTCATAGTCATAATATTACGAATGTAACCTTAAAGTCAACCAGTCAAAAACTATGGAAAAAAAATAAAAATAATATTAATGCGGCGGTAATAGTTTATTATTGTTTCACTTACCTTTCGTACAGAAACGTTCACAGTACCAAAATACTATGAGTTCCTTACAACATAATAGATTAAATTCATTTGACAAATGTAAACTTTAACGTATCTTATATATATGAATATGACATGTTTTGAAATCGATATCTTATTAAAAGTAAAACACTCTTTTTGAAGTATTAGAGAGGATAGATTACCATACATTTCGTGCTCCTTGGAAGGTATATTTTTAACTCATTAAAATTGTGCAGTCATTCGGGTTATGTTGTAATAAATTAGCATTATGCATCACTTCCATTCACAAAATATTAGATACAGTCTTAAATCACACACTTTACACAACAAAGAAGCAAAATATTAAAGTAGGGTACATAGCCCGTAAAAAATGTAGAAAATAGAGAAAACAATTATCATAAAGTTAAATTTTACTTCACAGTATTGTACCAACTACTGCGTGGATAAAGATCATACAATAACAAAATTGATAAGATCTAGTTTTTCGTATGTTACATAAATTACAACAAGTCTGTTCAGACTTTTTTTGCTATGCTGTTTTAGCATCAGTTGATAAAGGCAAAACAAATCAAATAACTCGGTTTATATTTTTAAATTTCTCAATACTATTTCAACAAAATAAAGTGGGGAAACGGAAAATGAGATATTAGACGTTTTTGTACTCAAATCCGCGCCTCCTATTTATTATTACCCCTCACTATTTTTTTAAAATGTTAATTTCCCAAATAAACAATGGGGGTTATTCTTACTATAAAAGAACCATGTGACTAAAAATTGTGTACATAGGTAACAGTAAATAAAAATGTTTTTCACCGGAGCTAGTTTTTTTTTGGAAGAAATTTTCCAGACAATTACGTTATCACAATTGACAAGTTGCTACAATCCTATGAAGTTTTTGTTCTAGAAAAACTATCTTTAGATAATGTTTTTATCAGTAAAACATGGTGATTCGTTATCAAAATTTAATACCTTAGTGGCTGTTTATGCTGAAGAATGACAAAGTCAAAATTTGAAGAAAAAAACTATAGAAACAGTGTACCGCTGAATTATTTGTTCGTGGCAATAAAATAAATAACACGTAGGTTTGTAAGTAACATTCCTTGTGCAAATACTGTAAATATCCGAGGCGTTAACAGTATTTTCCTCGGGATGATATTTTTTCTGTCACTTAAAAACCTATGTGTTATTTATATTTATTAGTGTCATGTTTATTTTCCAATGTCCATTGGAAGTAATTTATACCGTTAATGCAAGTGAACCATGTGACTAAGAAATTTGTACTGTTACAGGCTAACAGTATTTTATTAGTTATAAAGATTGTTGACTGGTTATATGACCCTATATAAACGGCTGTTTGTAAATATAACCCGAGCCGTTAGGCGAGGGTTATATTGCAAACAGCCTTTAATATACGGCCATATAACCTGTCAACGATCTTTATAACGAATTTATAATACAGCAAGCATCATTTTTAGAGCAAAAAAAGTAAGTTTTCTTCATGAATCAACAGCAGCCGTGTATATAAAACTATATAAGCGTCACGATTATCCAATGAAAATTGACGTTACAAACATGCAGTATTATAATTAATAGTATAAAATCTGGTCACAAGGTCTAATTTCTGAAGAAAAAAATAAAATCATCATAAAAATCATCACAGTTATTGTTCGGGGTAATAAAATAAATAACGCATGGGTTTATGAGTAACAGTAAAACTATCACCTCTCTTGAAAATATTGTTAAGGGTTTATGAGTAACAGTAAAACTATCACCTCTCTTGAAAATATTGTTACATTCGGCTAACGCCTTGGGTAACAGTATTTTCCTCGGAATGATATTTTTACTGTCACGGCAAAAATAAAAAAAAACAGTTTATGTAGTTTCAAAAAAAAAACTTAATTGTTTCATAACTGTATAATTCAGTCACAGGTAAAGATTACTAATTTAAATGTACCTTAAGTTTAAAACATTATACTGTATATCAAAGAACTATAAAAGCAATTCAATTCAAAACATGGTATAATTATGTTTGAGTTTTAATAGGACATGGAAGAGAAAACACACAACTGTATAATTCTAAAATGGCGGTACATAACCCTGATGGAAATATTAAAACTGTAGAGAAAAAAATAGTAAAATGCTACTATGATAAAATACCATTGGTACTTCCCTTGGATCCTTATTGAAAAATATAATTTTCTATAGTTTTTTTTTCCTTTTTGCACTGATAAGGCTTGATTTACATTTATAGTAATATTATATTCATTTAATGTCGAGTGATACTTCATAAAGAATATTTGAGCATGTGTCACAACAATGATGTATCTATGTTCGATTGTATCTTTATACTTTAGATAAGCCATAAAGGTGGCGCGATAGCTCATTTGATTAGACACCTGACTGTCACTCCTGAGGTCCCAGGTTCGGTCCTGGGTAACACACTTGGGATTTTTCAGAGACACTTTCAGTATTTCCCACCTACCTAGAGGTGTACTCAGGTAAGAAATGCAGGTAATCCTTGCATGTTATCAGTGCTTTACACTTGGCATGTAAAAGAACCCAAGGGGTCTATTTAATAAGAGCTAGGGACTGGTTCCTGGATGACTTTGTATCTCGTGATTTATGTCTACATCCTAACGATGGGTTTGACATTAATGGAAGATAAATAGATAGATAGAAAATCAAATTAAAACAATATCTTAACTTTTCAAAAATTTAATTACAAAAGATCTGATTACTATACAGCATGGTGATATACAGAAGAAAAAAACCCACTGATTTTAGTAAATTGTATGTTTCTACATGTGTTGTTTTTAGACATAAAAACACTAGTAAGATCACATTGTAACTTTAAAAGTTTCACTTGTGTATGAGCATCCCAGAAACCCCTTAATTGCAATTTTTCAGGCACAAGTAAGTGACAGAGTGAAACAACTGACTAATGAAAATCTACCTGGATAGTTTTCTCACTTGAAAAAATCAGCAGCCCCAGACAGGATTCAAACCTAAAACAGTGACGGGCATGATTGTGATTTACAATAAATTACATTAAACACTTGGATTACATTACAATACATAAATATAATAAAAAATGAATGAAGATCTGGTTACCATATTAACGTTACAATATACATATGAGCCACGTCACAACAAAACCAACATAATGGGTTTGCGACAAGCATGGATCCAGACCAGCCTGCGCATCCGCGCAGTCTGATCAGGATCCATGCTGTTCGCTTACCAACCCTATAACAAGTAGAGAAACTGATAGCGAACAGCATGGATCCTGATTAGACTGCGCGGATGAGCAGGCTGGTCTGGATCCATGCTGGTCGCAAACGCACTATGTTGATTTTGTCTTGACGCGGCATTATTAATTACATCAGACAGAATGATAACAATGAAGCATGTCCAAGAGCACAATATTAACTTCATGAATGTACAAATAAATTAAGGACAACGCTGTTTTGGGTTTTGCATGATCATATCCCATTCAACCTAATGAAAGAATAAAAACATTGTTGCAATTCACTCTTCTTATATCCTACATATATCATAAATTCACTTCAACACTTTAACATTTATGCTGCTGATTATTTTAAAAAGACTTTTCATTTCAATTTGGAAATACATTTATCAGGGTGAAAATTTAAAGTTGGTCAACCAACAGTATAGAACCTGGTCTGACTGAACAGATGTACATACTAGCCTGGCTCAATACGGATGACAAAGGCTTATCAGTTTTTTGGTTCTCTAGCAGGTTAAGTGTGAAGAACTCAAGTAAACAAACAAATAAGGGCAATGTAAGCAAACAAATAAGGACAATATATCTTTGACAAAACTATACTACAAGTGAGGTCAGTTAGCTTAAATGCACACATCTACACACACGACACATACGGAAAAGTTCAATAGACATATTTAATTCTGTACAAAATGTTTCATCTACAACTGCACTTTTAAATTTGACATCATTTACATTATTCATATACCAATTTAATTCTCAAATATTTTTTGGCCATCTTTCATCTTACTAAACTCAAACTAGGCTGATTTCTAGATCCTTATACCAGTACATGTTCTATAATATACCAGTACATGTTCTATAATTGTACTTTGAGTGCAATTTCTTTTAACTTTGATAAACTCATAGTTTTCTAGGAATAATGCGCAGCTAATGCACTTTGTGATGACGGCTGTGTTAGCTTAAATTTTAATTTCTGTCCACTGAAATACTATTAATTTAACTCCACACTTTATGAACAACTTCCACTCCTTCTATTTTATCTTCCACCACCTCCACCTTGTTGAGGATCCATTGACTGCATAATAAACATCATTATCACAAATGGCACAATGTACATCCACTGAAAACACATAGAAAAATATTATAAACAATTATTCAACAATGAAAAATAATCACTTACGTCAGCTTTTTAACAATTCATTTTAATCATAACACCATTAATTCTGTGTAGCAATTTTTCATAGGGATAAACATCAAAGCTATGGTCACTCTTTCACTTGAGGAGGTATCTAGCGATAATTTTTACAAATAGAACAAAACAGCATAATGGAACTTGGACATTAAAAAGATTAAATCAATCATAACTAAAAAGGAATAAATCATAAATAACTAAGAAGAGCTGTCAATAAGACAGCATGCTTGACTATTCTCAGATCTTGATAATAAAGCAAGTGCCCGGATTATAAAGAATTTTTATGATAAAAAGGGTTATAATTCTGCTAAAAACTATGCTAGGCCTTGGACCTCCTATTATGCTTTTAAATAAGTGTGTGTAGTTTCAACCCCTTCCCTTTAGTAATTATGGAGATACCAGCTAAAATGCAAAACTTAACCAAGAATTTCTTAGTAAAATAAGGAAGAGCAAATCACAGTTATGTACAATACTAACAGAGAACAAGTGTATGAAGTTTTAACCAATGCCCTTCAGTAGATTTGGAAATACCAGCTCACACCCAAAAACTTAACCAATAATTTCTAGGTCCAAAAAGGGAACAGGTATGTGAATCTGTGTGTTTTGGAGATACCAGCTTGCACGCAAAAACCTTTAGAACAAAGTGTGACCAGAGAGCCTACAATAGCTCTCCCTATTCTAGGAATAGTCAATCTTAAAAAGAACAAAACATTTATAACTAAAAAGGAATAAACATTTATAACTAATTCCTCTCAAATTATATGCATATATATGATCAACCTTATTCATCTTCATCACTGGAAAGTGAAGAAAATTGATCAGAATGACTAACACATTCAATAACCTCATTAAACTGAAAATAGAGATCCTAACACTGAGGGAAATAGACTCATTAGAGAGAGAATACAGGTAATGGACCATTTCCTATTTGAGTACCTCATTTATCACTTGCTAAAACTTATTCAGGTCATTTTATAGCTCCTGAACTTTTGACTTTAAGTAATTAAGCATTAAGATCATAACCTTATATGTCTGAAATAAGGTGACATCATCAGCAGTAGACGACTACTAGCGTGTTAAACTCCAATAATTTCATCTTTTACTTTAGGTTTTAGTCACATCTACATTTAAAGATCATTTAGCCATTTTCCAATTATCGAATGATTTAGAATTTATAATGACATTTGATTATAGTTGAAAAATCAATCAAATTTAAGTCAGATTGGCATTTTGTTATCAATTGTTAATTGTCTCTGGTGTACCAGTTTCTGTAACTTATAACAGTGGTGAAAAACCACTGGAGAGCGTTTCACTAAGATTATGTAAGTTTTGCGTATCTTTTTACGTAAATTTGGACTTACGCAAATGCGTAGCTAAGAAAGTTTAATGAAACGCAGATAAATACGTAAGTTCTACTTAAGCAAAAAGTTAAGCTCAAATTACGATAAGGTAAGTATGTAAGTGAAACACTCCTCTGAACTTATGTTTATATGCACATATCTTAAGATGTTGACAAGCCCTGGGATAGAACTATAAACATTTATATATAACAATTTGTCTTACCGCAGGAAAATATGTGGTCCACTGAGTGGGATGGGTATACATGTACTTATCTTGAAGGAAGAAAAAAAACAAAATGTTCAGTAACATTAAAGATACTTACATATTTACTAAAGAAAGATCGGTTATCTGCCTGATTCCCTTTAGCTTTTTCCCTCTCATCTTTCTTAATTTTATCTATATAACTTTGTGTATCAGGCCTGAAAAACCAAAACAATAACATGCATTAGTCCACCTGTACAGAACAACAAACCTTTTGCTAGCAAACTGGGAAACAACCAAACATAAAATAATCCCAAGTCTCCAGTATATTTCTAACCAGGTAAGTAATATGAACTCAAAATCAATTAGACTGAGAATTTTCTCAGTCTGAGTTAAAAACTTAATATTAAAGCTGCACGCCTCCAGATGAACCAAAAATATTTCAAGAAAAACAAACTTAAGAAAAATGTACTCAGATTTTAAGAAAAGTAAAAATATTAAAGATTCAAGTAATTATTTATGTACTTAATGTCTTTAACGACCGAAGTCCCAGTACTTATTACCATATTTCTACTGCGTGACTAACACAGTAATGGCTATTATTGTATATTTTGGCCTTTTTGGTAATTTAAGTAGACTGTAAATGCTGTTTGTAATGTGTAAATAACTTTCCTTGTTCACTACACTATATTTTAGATTACATTTTCAAAATTTACATGAAGAATGAGCATGCTGCTTTAAAGGAACTCCACTTAGGTAAAAAATGCTCCAAACATAAAATTTGAATTTCATACATAAATCAACATGGGCACTTAAAAAACAGAAAGATATGCGAAATATACTCTGAGATGAATTGAAAATTGTATTATCGTGCTATTTAGCCAGTTTTGAGTAAAAAGCATTGCTTTGGGTCATTTTTCACAATTAAACTTATTGTTCTGCTACAACAATATGAATAAATGATGTGAAATTTTGTACACAAGTTGTTGTACTAGACCTCCTTCAAATGAAACACAAAATCCGTATAATTTTTTCCAGTCCCGCCTTGTCAAAAAACCTCAGTGGAGTCCCTTTTAAGATCTAATTCAAAATGTTGGACTCGCACCTTTTGGGCTGTCTGTATAAAGAAATAATTTGAATGCTATAAGAGGTAAAAAGGTAACTTACACTGGACCCGACACAGAAACTGAGATCTCAACTTTTGTATTCCAGTCTGTAAGATTGGCAGCCGACACTTCAATTCCTGAGCAGTAATGGTCTGCTGCCATGGAAACACCTAAAACCTCTCCTGATTGGTCGACAGAAATAATCAAGGTTTCAGAGAGGGATGACTCATATATTGTACACTGAAAAAAAAAAGAGAAAGATTCGGATATAAACCACTAGTAACAACTGCTTTTTATTTTGTGTCATTATAATGTTTCTCATTCAATGGACCAGCACATTTTTGGGTTGTTTTTTTTTGTTTTTTTTTAATTAAAAGACACTTTGTTTGAACTGTTTCAAACCCTTAAAATCAGATTTAGAACAATTTTGTGTCATATTTAGCACCTTACATACATCAAATGTAATATGTGGAATAACAATAATGTCACTTTTTAAACAGTAGTCAAATTAAACAGTGGAAATAAAAATGAAGAAAGTAAAATTCTAGTATTTTTTTCTCTTTCAACAGGAGCAAGACACTTTATATATGCATATTTTATGGTACCTAGCTAGGTTATATAATTATGGAATTTCAATGGTTCTATGTCTGTAACCGCCTGTGCCTGTAATACTGTATGGTATCCTACATTAGTAAGGGTGGAAAATCACTGTATGAACTAGCAAGAGTTGTTGTGACTTAAATTGTATGATGCAAAAATTATTGTTTGAATTTTAACAAGAGCTGTCCGTAAGACAGCGCGCTCGACTTTTTTAGTGCTTGCCTATAATACAAAACATTGACAGTTAAGGGCCATAATTCAAATAAAATCTTTGACAGAATTACCTTCTCCTGGACATGTTTGGGAATCATGATTGTAAACAAGTATTCCAACTTTCAAATTAATATCTCAAACAGTTCAGTCAAAAAGTGGACTGGTACTAAAAACTTAACCAAGATTCTAAGTCGATAAAAAGGCCTTAATTTTTAAAACAAATCCTTGACAGAGTTACCTTCTCTTGCGTACAGATGGGGGTAATGATGTGAAATAGCATTAAAAGTTTCAAAGCAATATCTCAAAGGGTTAAGGCAATAAGTGGATTTTACCCATATTCAATGTATTTTCTAAGTCAAAAAGGGGCATAATTCTGTCAAAAAACCTTGACAGAGTTATGTCCTCTTGTCTGTTGATGAAGGTCGTGATGGTAAACAAGTATGGTCAGTTTCAAAGCAATACCTCCAATGGTTTTGAAATAAAGTGAGGTGGTACAAAAAAACTTAACCAAGATTCTAAGTCGATAAAAGGCCTTAATTTTTAAAAACAAATCCTTGACAGAGTTACCTTCTCTTGCGTTTACAGATGGGGGTAATGATGTGAAATAGCATTAAAAGTTTCAAAGCAATATCTCAAAGGGTTAAGGCAATAAGTGGATTTTACCCATATTCAATGTATTTTCTAAGTCAAAAAGGGGCATAATTCTGTCAAAAACCTTGACAGAGTTATGTCCTCTTGTCTGTTGATGAAGGTCGTGATGGTAAACAAGTATGGTCAGTTTCAAAGCAATACCTCCAATGGTTTTGAAATAAAGTGAGGTGGTACAAAAAACTTAACCAAGCTCAATACACTTTCTAAGTCAAAAAAAGGGCCATAATTCTGTCAAAAACCTTGACAGAGTTATGTACTCTTGTCTGTAGATGGAGGTTATGATGGTGAACAAGTATGGTAAGTTTCAAAGCCATACTTGTAATACTTCTGAAATAAAGTGGGGTGGTACGAAAAACTTAACCAAGGTGTGACGCCAACGCTAACGCCGACGCCGACGCCGGGGCGAGTAGGATAGCTCCCCTTTTCATAGAAAAGTCGAGCTAAAAAAGTATACTTCCAAAATGTTTGTATGAAATAAATATGGTAATTTAACTATTTGAAGCAAATGGCGTATGCACAAAATCATTGCTAAAAGGATAAAACCCTACTTAAAATAGCAAAATAATAGTTTGTTCCGGAACATTTTATTCTGTTTATGTACATTATTCAAGTGTATTGAATAACAGAGACAGTCTATGTTACAACTTTTTACGGAATCAACCATATAATAATGGAACCAATATAATTTTACTATTGATAAACTTTATTAAAATATTTCATAAGATATTATTATAGATTTATACCCTTTCAAGTGACATTTTGCCCATTCAAGGGTGAGTGAACAGATGAAAGTTAAAATAAGTCTACATTTTGCCATAATTCCATTCAGTTTTACAATTTACTCCACATGAATGTGAAATAACTGACATGGCAAAAGGGAATTTCTGTAAGTATCCAACATAATTTACCTGTAATGTTCAATTTATAAAAAGAGTGGGACAGTCTTTTTATATTTTAGGCAGATTTATGTTTTATTCTAAATACGTTCCAATATAAACTTTTGGTCAATCATCATTATAATTAATCTTCTGAAATTTATAGACAATTCAGCTCAACTTGACAATCAAAATATGAGCATATTGTCACTTTAAAACCCAATGGTTAATCAATTTGCCATGAAAAAATGTAAGGGAGATAACTCACAGCTTTTGTAAAAGTAGAAACATACACAGTTCCATCCCCTGTTTCACGTATTGGAATCCTAATTCTGTATATGCCATCTTGTTGAGCAACATCCTTCAAAAATAAAACATATAATTACTTCATTTTCAATACATCTTTCAATGAGTTTATACATGAAATGATGATAAATGATGTCTGATCTAAGATAAAATAGTATAAAACAAATTTGTAGCTACCAACTTATAAAAAATTATTGTCATTTTAATATATCCATAAAAACACATTAATGTTGAGAAAGTGGTTTTTGTGGATATTTTGGATTGTGGAGGAGCTAGCTGACTGTTAGTTAATGTTGCATGAGCCAGATGAGCCAAAATATTTCAAGAAAATAAATTTTGAGAAAAATGTACCGAGATTTTCAGGAAAGTAAAAAGGTTCAAAATTTAAGTAATAATGTACATGTTATTATAATTTTTATGTGTAACAAATGACTGATTTTGCAGTATATATTACCATATTTCTACTGCGTGACTAATGAAGTAAGGGCTATTTTTGCACATTTGGCCTCATTTTGGTATTTACGTGCACTGTAAATGCAGTTTCCGATGTGTAAATTATTTTCTTTGATCACTTCATAATATTTTACTTTTAAATACATTTTCTTATATTTCATGAAAATACGCAAGAATATTAAAAAACAATGTTATATTGGTGCAACAAGTAGGGAAACAATCAATATATACCGGTAGGGTGAATACTTATATAATCATATTAATTAATGATTAAATTGCAATTAAAACTTTGATATACACACTAATTGCACATGTTCAATGTATATCAATTAATGACTGAAAAAAAAGACAGCAAAATTAAAATAAAAGTTACCCTTAAAAAAAATTCTATCTTTGAATATCAATTAATGACTAAAACACAGAAGCAATTTAAAACAAAAGTTACCCTTAAAAGTTTTCTATCTTCAGAGGAAAGCGAGGAAACTTGGGAGAATGTTGCACGTTTTGTTTGCATTGATTTAATAACAACAGTTCCTCTCTTTGTAAACACTGGGTCTGAATCTGAAACAAACAAAATAAAATTCATAACACTAGTTTATTTATTTGAAGTGGTCAGTTGATGTGTCAAATTTCTAAATACTATCTCACAAATGTGTGATAATGTACAAATCAACAGGTAACATATTTTTCTGGTCATATTTTTTATTCAACTGTGACAAAAATAATAATTAATATTATCACAAACATGGAGCAGAAGTGTAATAAAGCCATTTAATAAAAACGATATAACACTAGGGTAATAAACCTTTGACATGAAGTCATGTGCGTTATATATAAATATAGCATAACAACACATCAATGTTAGTCTTACACTATAAGCGTGTCAATGAAAAATGACATTTTTTAAACAGTTAACCGTATTTATTTTAGATACTATTTATTTAAGATTATTTTAGATATGTGATAAATAGAATATTACATTCATTTGGATTTAACACTAAATCTATTTAACTTGTTGAATAAAACAATATTATGCTCGTAAAAGGCTTGAGTTTAACATGAGTTTATTCATCTCTTTCAATAAATTTAGTATTAAACCTTCACTCATTCAATATCTTCTATTTATTAAAGAAATCCAACATACAGATGGAGTTATTCTACCTAACTCATATATTATTATTTATTTTATCCCCCTAGAGGGAAGTGGGCCGATCCTGGAGGTACTGCAATACCAGGCCAACCCGTGGCAAGAGCGGAGCAAGCCCCTGACATCTCACCTGTGTCCAAAAATCAGTTTAATATCGAAGTCCCCCAATGGGGGACGTATCAGATATTAAGCTGATAAGAACAGATACTACACTTTGATCTTAGCCAAAAGGCCGAGAAGCGATACCAGTAGTAAATTTTGGGGGCATTTTATTCAAAATGCTTAAAACGTTCATACCGCTGATGAAAACTTTTAAAAGTTGTGAAAATAGAATCATGTTTATTAAATGAAAAATACCTCTGAACATTCTAAAATTCTTTATATAGAAATAAGGCAATAAACTAAGTCATATTCCTTTATAAAGCATCTTAATAAGTGCTTATTGTCTGCTAAAATGTGGAAAATATTCAAAATATAAACGTTAATTTTACAATTTTAACATAGCAAATGGTTTCTATAAATAGATTTCAAATATGAAAAGATAACTCTTAATAAACATCACATAGTAGGTCACATAGTATTCTACTTGGTTAACTTTCCTTAGGCAAGTTATAAGTCATTGTGTACATGATAGTTCGTGAAAACAAATATTTTTCAATCAAATTAAAAATGAGATATAATATTATCAGTATAGTTACAATTTATCATATCACTTGAATATGTTTTACCAAATTACCGTATTTAAAATATATGTAAAGAAATGACTGTTATAAAATTTTAAAATTTAAATTAATTTATTACTCAAGTATTTTCTTTGTTTACTTAAAATAATATTTTCATATATACAAAAATTACTGATGTATATATTACCCCTCCATTATTACATGATTTTTACTTCCTTTTCAATATTAAAGGGAGACACAGGCAAAATTTTAATTTCTTAGTTTGGAATTTTTCATTCATTATTTTGTAAATGTCCTCGAAATAAATACATAAGACAGTCATAGGAACAAAACTTTTCTCCATATAAAAAATAAATTGGTGGTTTCCTAACTTGACCCGCGTTGGTCAGGTTAGAGCGTTAAGATATCATAATAGTTGTCACAATGAACTCTGGAAATGTTAAAGAACATGTCAAATTATTGACTTTGACTTGTTTCTATCATACAATATTCACAATATCTGTTAATGTAACTTCCAGTGTTTGTTCAAGTCACATGACTTGTTTTAAATCTATTCAATGATTCTGTTGGCGTCTAAATTTAGTTTAATATATATAAATATATTTACGCTTCAAACCCAAAATATATAGAATTGATACCGAAATTTATGCTAGGACTTTAAAAAATGTCATTTTCGCGTGATTTGAGTACATAAGATCATTTTAATATTTTTGTCATTATTTTGCCTGAGTATCTCTTTAAAGTCTTAATAAAAAAATAGTAACTGTTGAAGTATGCAATAAAATATCATTAAATTAACCTTCATTACAATAGCAGACAAGTATGAACATTAGATTGTCCATGCATTTAGTATAGCTTTCTGTTTTCTTTTTAAATATTTGATAATAGATAACAACAGTCTAAAATATTTTCTTCAGATGTATCTTTGTACCACCAAAGAACAGTAAATTCACTAAGTTTAATAAGTAAAATAGACAGCTGTTGTTTGAGTTCTGCACAAACAAAAGTGTTAGCAAAAATGAACATTATTACTTTATATACATTAAAATTTTGATAGGTAAGCTTCATTAAATATAATTGCACAAATGTAATCATTTTACTGACCTTGATCAAATGAGTGCTCCAAACTTAGTGTTCTAGACCCTTCAAACTCATCATCAAACTGAAAGTAGAATAAAACATACAAATATTTGCCCACTCTGACACTTATATGAAAGTTCAAATCATTAAACTGGCTGCAAGTAAAATTCTAAAGATCTATTTTATTTGTTTTGGATTTCATCACACACTTAGTGAAAATAATCAATATTGCCTAAATAACAATAAAATATTGTGTACATACATATATACTGTACTGGTGAGACATTTGTTACACCAGCCAACTACACTGCGGTATACCGTACCCCGGATATTGCTCGATATTATGAGGACTTTCATCCCATTTCGCGACTTTGAACGAGGAAAGAAGGTAAGTTCAGTGACGATATTTAGTCATTTTGAATTGGTTTGATATAAATTTTATAGAAAAACAAATAACTTCGATAATTCTCTAGTTACTGAAACCCCAAAAATGCTGAGGAAATAGCTTTGAAATGTAATATGAGGTTAAAATTCGTCTCTTTGCTCACGTGATAAATGAGCTCGGATCAGCCAAATTTGATGTTTTTGTTTGCATATAATTTCTTAACAGAAAAACTTGAATCGAGGTGAAATGTGATAATGATGTTAATGTTTATGTTGTAAATGTTCAATCAACAATAGACCTTCAGATGACAGTGCATTTGAGAATAAATACACATGTCAGTGTACCGAGTATTGCGTGGAAGTTGCCCGCCGGTTTGTCATGAGTATTGCTTTTAGTGTAACGAGTATTGGTTATCAATATAGAGTAAATGCAAGTAGTAAACATGTAGTATTTACTACATTTAATCTTATATATTTCTTATTGTTAATATACTTATTTACACTATATGTGCAGAATATGCAGAGTTCGGAGGTACTTTACTGGAAACATCTGCGAATAATCCAGATTTTCATTCCTGCTCATGAAAAATCTCAGTCGAACGAACTCAGCAATTTTCTGTGTTTAAAAAAGTTCTCGTTGCTATCGAAGATCAACCTTTCCAGAATTTGTTAGTAATTATTGCATATCTTACTTTAAATGTAAAAAAATGCATCCGAAGTGAATTAATGCTGCCTCAAGATTGTAGACAGTATTGAGCAAGTGTCCAATATCTAATATCAACCGACTTCCTACTATGCCCAAAATACATATAAAGGTAACTTTCGGTCATTTTGCACCTGCACTATAGCAATGGCAGACTGTCTGCACGTGAAATTTGATACGTCATTAGCAATGAGTTACCATTATGACTGCCGAGCGGGCACAGCTAAAAAACCGAATAATGCATTTTGACAAGATTATGATAAAGGACAGCAGATGCAATAAAAAGGTTATGTTTCTTTATAATCTTTTACCTCATTAAGGCGTGTTTTGAAGGCTTTACATCCCATATCTTTTGAGGCCAACATGCGCTGTTTAGACCCCAAACACTGTTTTTTTTTTTCGTTTGAGAAATGTTTTTCAAAAGAAGCTAGTGATCACTTTTTCGGGCGCCACCCCATTAAAAAGATTCATCAAGGGGATGCCACAGAGGGGATTGGGTGCCCCCTTCTCTGTTTGGGAATTTGAAGTTGGGCAGTAGCCCCTCTAATCGCCGAGAAGATTTTGGACTTGTGGGGGGGGGGCTAAAATGGCCTCAGGTCGATTTAATTAAAGGTACCGTGTAATCAACGCCGAAAACCTTAGACTTTATCTCAATCAAATGAGAAGTTGCAGCACCTTGAAATCAGTTTTGATTTGGAAAAAAAAAACAACGCAAAATAGAGATTTTTGGCAATTTTGTGAGGTCCACCCGTTGCCACATGGTAACTGGAAATTTAGAATTGAGCATGCTATTCCACAGGCTATGGTCCAGCCAACATTTGTCCCAGTTTGATTAGTATTGAAGCATTTTTTTTATAGTTTCATAGCAGCTTGAACTTGTAACAAGAGGCTTAATAAAATGAAAACAGACATTCTTCGCAATATGCTCATGCAGAAAAAGGTTAAGACGATACCGGCATGCTTGGACGGCATAAGCCCTCGGGCCAATATTTTACTAAGTGTGTCGATATGTTTCTTATGGCAAACTTGCCCTGTAAAACCCTATTATTAATGTCATCTAAATATGTTTCTTTTATTCTTCTTCTTTTCAGAGATGGATCTTCTTGGTCATAGTTTCTTGAGACATGTATTTAAAGATTACTATCGTCAATTTTGATGGTTCTACCCTGCTCCCGACCCTGCACACTTTATTTCATCCATAGTGTGATTTTCAATCAAATGGGAAACTAAATCTCTGCATTTGCCGTAGGAAAAGAACAGTAATAACACTGAAAATGCATTGTTAAATCTGAAATATTTGAATAAATATCATATAAACAGTACATCATCAGCAAAATGATAAACAGACGTGAAAAAGACAAAAATATTGATTTTCCATACTAATGTGCTCATTTTGTTTTGCAATACACTGTACACTAAAGTTGGGCTATTTTGCAATACTCTGTACACTTAAAATCAATACTCGGTACACTTTCTTGTTTCTTTTTTGGCCTGTATCTTTTTGTACTTTCACACTTTTTGCCTGAAATTTGGACAAAGCTTACTTGGTTTGTGAATAAAAAAATTGCCCGATTCATTTTTTTTTATATTGGTAATATAATAATTTCTAACGATTCTACAGTATCGCGGTCACTATTTTCTAGTGAGCAGAAGGTCGTTTAGGGGTAGTTTAATCAAGTTTACATATACCTGTAATACTTTTACGTCTTTTAGAGCTACAAAAATAACTCTAGATATATAAAACCCGTTGAGATAAATGAAATAGCCATTTGTTTGGAAAATATCGTCGCTGAACTTACCTTCGTTCCCCGTTCAAAGTCGCGAAATGGGATGAAAGTCCTCATAATATCGAGCAATATCCGGGGTACGGTATACCGCAGTGAACTAGCATCAGTTCTGGTGAAATGAGCTATATTATCACCTTCTAACTTGTTTTAAGTAGGACAAATCATTATGGGTCAAATGGTCAGTTGGGAAAATCATTAGCAATTAGCCTAAAATGCTGCATTTGTGACAAATGGCGTTTGTTGAAAAACATCAAAACAATTAAATTAAATTGAATAAAATATAATGGACATTACCTAGTCCTATAAACAAGATGATTTTATTTACTTATTTTTACTTCTTGGCAACATATGCTTTCATTTTAACTAAAGCCCCCAATAGCCCCCCATGTTTACACATTCAAATGTTTTTGTTTTGATTTCATTCATAAAATTTTAATGTCACAATAATTCTGACTGTTTAAACAAAATGCCAAGGTTTACTTAACAGAATATCCTAACTATAACCTGTAATAATGAAGTATATCAGTCTAATTGACTTATGCCCAGTAAAAACCAGATGAGATACAGTTTTCACTTACAGTTTAATTAATACATGTAGCAGCTCACTGTACTTAGTATAGGTTAAAGTTTATTAGTATGTATTTACACAATTTTGTAAATACATACTAATTAATTTTAACCAGCTTAGTGTTTTAAATTATTTTCATAAACGGTCAATTTACTAGATAATGATTAACAGTTTGCCGATTTACCAAAGTAAATGTGTTACGATTCATTTGAAATACTGCAATCCTATTGGACAAACAAGGGCTGTCGTGCAAGTCACAAATTCCCCCGAAAAAGTTTCTTAACCATGCAGGTATTATGAAAAGAAAAGAGAATGAAGTACTAATTGCTTATAATTGTTCTTGTGAAATGAAGTGTTATTTATAGCAATCTTAACACCTTGGGACAAGGGCCTTGGATGCGACACATCATCTTGATGTTTTAGACATTTGTGCCAAGTTATTTGAAAATCCTTCAATGCATGACAATGTTACAGATTTGAAACTAATGCATACCTTCAAACTATTAGAGTGATGTTGACCTTGGAGGTAGGAACATTGTTCTTACACAAAACATGTCATCATTTTGTGCCAAGTAATTTAAAATCTTTCGATGCATGACAAAGTTATAGTCCAAACACGAATGTGTGTACCTATGATCTCTAATTCTGACAGCGTGAACCTTCAAAATAAAAGTGTGACCTTGACCTTTGAAAAGGGACAAGGTTCTTAAATGCAACACAAGGTTGTCATGTGATAGACATTTGTGCCAAATTATTTCAAAATCCCTCAATGCAGGACAAAGTTACAGTCCGGACATGAATGTGCATCTTCAAACTCTTCTCAAGAGAATTAGTACTTTCGAACTATAAGTGTGACCTTGACCTTGAAGGTAGGGACAGGGGTTTTGGACACGATGCGTCATCTTGATTTTGTAAACATTTATGCCTAGTTACTTTAAAATCTTTCAATGCATGACAAAGTTACATCACCGACACAAATGTGTGTATGTATAAACTGTAATTGTGATAAAGTAAACTTCAAAATGGTAGTGTGACCTTGACATTTGAGGTAGGGATGTGATTCTTGGACGCTACTCATTGTCTTGATGTGGTAGACATTTATGCCAAGTTATTCTAAAATCCTTTGATGCAAGACAAAGTTACAGCCCGGACACAATTGTGTGTACCTATTAACTCTAATTGTGATAATGTGAAATTTCAAAATATAAGTGTGACCTTGACCTTTGAGGTAGGGATGTGATTCTTGAACGCTACACATCGTCTTGATGTGGTAGACATTTATGCCAAGTTATTTAAAATCCTTTGATGCAAGACAAAGTTACAGCCCGGACACAATTGTGTGTACCTATTAACTCTAATTGTGATAATGTGAAATTTCAAAATATAAGTGTGACCTTGACCTTTGAGGTAGGGACGTGATTCTTGAACGCTACACATCGTCTTGATGTGGTAGACATTTATGCCTTGTTATTTAAAATCCTTTGATGCAAGACAAAGTTACAGCCCGGACACGATTGTGTGTACCTATTAACTCTAATTGTGATAATGGAAAATTTCAAAATATAAGTGTGACTTTGACCTTTGAGGTAGGGACGTGATTCTTGGACGCTACACATCGTTTTGATGTGGTAAACAATTATGCCTAGTTATTTAAAATCCTTTGATGCATGACGAAGTTACAGTCCGGACATGAATGTGTGTACCTATTAACTCTTATTGTGATAATGTGAAATTTCAACACCTTGACCTTTGAGGAAGGGACATAATTCTTGGATGTAACACATCATCTTGATGTGGTTGACATTTGTGCCAAGCTATTTCAAAATCTGTCAATGTAGGACAAAGTTACAGTCCAGACACGAATTAAGTGGGGACAAACAGACGGACAGACGGTGCAATTTTATATGCCTCCTTTAGGGGCATACAAAATGCCTCCATTGGGGGACATACAAATAATTGCAAACACTATTCTTATTTGGGTTAACACCAACATTGCTTTGTTAAATTAAAAAATATCACATGCATGTGTTTACTTTTTCCAACAACAACCATGCATATTGACAACTTATAATTGTCCACTCTATTAAGCATGCATTAAACAGTGTTTCACACTTCTATACAAGTTACCCTCTGACTGACTAAAAGTAGCAGTCCCATACATGTATATGGGCGTATTCTTACCATGCAATAAATGCTTGGGACTTAAAATATAAAAGCAAACACCAATAAGGTAGGGTTGACAAGTTTTTGGCCAAGATGACTTTTTTATCTATTCAAAAAAGTCAATTGGGGATACAAAGCAAAAGATTTATTTATTATTTAGCCTTGTACTGTGAGTATTTATTATTTGCACGTGTTGTTTTATTTTGATATAAAAATAGCTTAATAAAAAGATTAAATGAGGTTTACCTGCAAAACATTTTTCATTTAATAGTCAAATTTTACTTATGGTTTACATCAGCAATAAACAACTTTTTATTGGTCACTTGACACTAAGTTAAAACTTTGACAGCAAAATTCTTGTCTTTCTATTTTCTGGACATTTTGGTCATTCTCTAATTCAAAGACATGTGATCTGACACAATAATGTTTGGAAAATTAAAATTTATATCTACTATAGATTAACCATTACTCTATCTGAAGAATTAATTATATATATTTTTTTAAGTTATCAGGAGATCCATTTATTTTCATGTATAAAAGAAATCACTAAAATAATGTATTTGTACTGGGACAAAAGATTTGTAACAGAAAAGAAATGGAAGTGGCTAGCCGTACTGGCCCATATGGCTAGCCAAAAGTTCTACCTGTACGTGAGTCACGTACGGCTACCCAGTGCCGTATGACATTTTTTCAAAATTATATGAATGTCGAAAATGCGTATGTTATTTTGTATCTTTAAATGGGTATTTTACCCAAGAACCCGCATTTGTCCACATATGTTTACTTTAATAATGATACTCCGCCATTTTGTAAAAAAAAAAGAGAACACTATGGAAATACAATTGTTGTCATCTTAATAAAAGTGTTAAAGTTACATGACGCATAATTATTCAAAGTACATTTGATGATTCGTTGTATATGTGTATCACATAAATAATCATATAGATATATATATATATAACGGCCAAAAAAGCTGGTTTTCGTCGATTTCAAAAATAAATGCATTCTCACTTAATAAGAACCCTGGCGTCGTGTGTTTGTTTATTCATATGTATGTATAAAAAACTTAAGTAGATAAATATTGAACATAAAAGCCTAAACGTGTGCTTCACGGAACATGCAAACTTTCAGTCCTTTAAAACTGTCAGTAATTGATTATTAGAGTTCCAACAATAAATATTTTCGGTGCTGTTTTTCATTTTAAAGGTGTTGAGAATTAAATCTATTGAAACAAAAAATAATTATTATAATAATGATCGATGTGAACGATTACAACTCTTTTTTCTCGCCGTCTGGAGATGACAAAGATCAATATTTGTTCTTTTTTTACTGTAGCCAACATGGCGATTTATCTCTAAAAGTAAAACAAACAAACACAATAGCTGTTTCTTGATTATAATCCTAGCTTAAAAACATAAAATAACATATGCATTTTCGACTGTCATATAATTTTGAAAAGTGTCGTACGGCTAGACAATTCAGTGTCCTTGCTAGCCGTACGTGACTTGCCGTTATGATTATTCATTCAATCCAAGTGTTTAATTAACAATAAATGATTTTTTTCATCTTTCATTTACAAATTTTTTTTACAAATGGCGGCGCATATTTATTATTGTGAACACACAAGGAAAAATGCGGGGACTTGGTTAAAATCCTCGTTTAAAGAAACAAAATAACATATGCATTTTCGACTTTCATATAATTTTGAAAAGTGCCATACTGGTCAGGGACCATCAACCGGATGAACATTTTTCCATACAGATTTCATCATTTTAAAGCTAGAGATCTGAAACTTTGACACAGTAAAGCTAGGTTCTTCACCTATCTAGCAAAATAATTTGTTTATTTCTGATTATGTGAGGCTCATCAATGATGGTATCAAAATTACCTAAATTGTCCACACTACAGTACCATGTGTCCGGACAGATATGTACATGACATTGATTTAATTCAATAAAAGCTTGGTTTTTTTTTTTATTTTTAACATGATATACAATATTTCAGCAGCAAATGCTGAAGTTTTGGATATTCTATTTTGCTACTCTGCAAATAATTATGGCTAGTAAAAGAGGTCAGGTATTGCACTCTTGACGTCCAATTGTTCCGATGTCAGATCTAAAAAATGTAATTTGCATAAATTTCACTGAATGCTTCAAACTTTGAAAAATTCTTACAGAAATAGAATCGTATTAACACATTAAATACCTGATGCCAAACTTTTAGTAGACTTTGTGAAATTGAGACAAATAAAATATCGATATACTTTTCGAATAAAACTGCTTGGTACGAATTTTATTGAGTACAAAACTAACAGGAAAAATATTTGAAAGTTAATTTTCATTTCAAATTATGAAGAATGAGCTGAAAATATCACTGTTAAAAATATGTAATTATTCATTTCCTTACACACGTGACAATTGAAATAAGAATAAATAAATATGCAGCTAAAATTCTGATCGTGGGCGCAGCCATCTTGAGTCTGATGTCCAATGAAAATTCATTTATGGGATACAGCTCTTTTCTTAACCAATCAAATTTCATGTAACAAACACAGATTGTAGGCTCAAAATGGTGGCTAACATGCTGATAATCGGATAGATTTTCAATAATATCCTTGATATCTCTACAGTATGCTACCATTTCAACATCTGCCAACGATGAACTTTATAATTGATGACAATGATATTCCAGAAGACGATGTCATTCTCTATTCTGTACTATACTCGAGTGTCACTGTTGTTTTTGCTATGGCAGTGTTGTCAAAGTTTTTGACAAACGAATTTCGTTTTGGATTCCGTTCTGTTTTGAGTTTAGCTGTTCTTTTCCTTGGGGAACCATTATGTCAGTTCTTTGTGAAAGGACCTGTGGGTGTTGGATGCTTTGCATTTGGATGCTTGCTTATATATTCTATCTTGCCAGCCAGTCACTTGCCAGCAGCTGACAAAGCAGTTCTTATCACAGGTAAGTAAAAATGTCATAATAAAATTATATTTAAGCATTTTCATATTGAACAGATTATTATTAACATTTAGCCATGCAATTATAAGTAATATGAAATTAGGCAAAGCCTATGAACGGGCAAGTCGGTAAAAATTCCTTTCATTTTTCCGTTTTAAAGGTGTCATTCGGTATTATATGTACCCGCTTCCGTTTTCACTCGGAACACTCGACGATTATTATTAATCCTAAAAGTTGAGATTTGTTCCGTTACCCGATACACCGCCTTTTATCATTGAGTTACATTGTAAATGGCGGCGCCTAACTAGAACTGACACTGAAAATTTCATTGATAGGTATACTGGTTGGGGACCACCAAAACCTGACAACCACCAAACCCGGACGGCCCCGAAAATGCTTAATTTAGTATTTTCTTTGTTCAGTGGTTGTCAGTCACTTTTTTATCAACAATAAGTGCATGTTTCTTTTAAAATTAAGTAAATTAATTTATTTCAACCTCCGTAAATGGTAATATTTTAATGTCTATTTCAAGAATGTTAATGTTGAAATTCGGGGGTCAAGAAAGCAATGCCTGACCTCATATACCAGCTATAATCATTTGCAGAGTGAATAATAGAATATCCAAAACTTCAGCATTTGTTGCTGACATATTGTATATCATGTTACAAATCAAAAATTAAAACACCCAGGCTTTTATCTGAATTAAATCACATGTACATATCTGTCCGGACACATGGTACTGTAGTGTAGACAATTTAGGTAATTTTGATACCCTCCTTGTCGAGCCTCAGATATAAGTGTCAATACAATCAGAAATAAACAAACTAGTTTATTAGTTAGGAAAAGAACCTAGCTGAACTGTGTCAAATTTGTTGAACTCTAGGTTAAAAATTATGAAATCTCTACAGAAAAATGTTCCAAAAGTGTCCGGTTGATGGTCTCCGACCAGTAGAATTCTATATTTTTAATTGTTTATTTATTTGATTTTCTTTTAAATATACACATGTAGTCTATAGTCGGGCAAGCCAAAGCGGGCCCGGACTTTGACTTCCCCGTATAAAATAGGTAGCGTTAGATAGTGGGAACGGATTTAAAAAATCTCATATGTAAAACATATTTTCCTTTTGCGCTGATATTAAATAACTTGACAGAATTACCTTAATTGTAATTTTTTAGCTCGACTTTTCTATGAAAAGGGGAGCTATCCTACTCGCCCCGGCGTCGGCGTCGGCGTCGGCGTCACACCTTGGTTAAGTTTTTCGTACCACCCCACTTTATTTCAGAAGTATTACAAGTATGGCTTTGAAACTTACCATACTTGTTCACCATCATAACCTCCATCTACAGACAAGAGTACATAACTCTGTCAAGGTTTTTGACAGAATTATGGCCCTTTTTTGACTTAGAAAGTGTATTGAGCTTGGTTAAGTTTTTTGTACCACCTCACTTTATTTCAAAACCATTGGAGGTATTGCTTTGAAACTGACCATACTTGTTTACCATCACGACCTTCATCAACAGACAAGAGGACATAACTCTGTCAAGGTTTTTGACAGAATTATGCCCCTTTTTGACTTAGAAAATACATTGAATATGGGTAAAATCCACTTATTGCCTTAACCCTTTGAGATATTGCTTTGAAACTTTTAATGCTATTTCACATCATTACCCCCATCTGTACGCAAGAGAAGGTAACTCTGTCAAGGATTTGTTTTAAAAAATTAAGGCCTTTTTATCGACTTAGAATCTTGGTTAAGTTTTTAGTACCAGTCCACTTTTTGACTGAACTGTTTGAGATATTAATTTGAAAGTTGGAATACTTGTTTACAATCATGATTCCCAAATGTCCAGGAGAAGGTAATTCTGTCAAAGATTTTATTTGAATTATGGCCCTTAACTGTCAATGTTTTGTATTATAGGCAAGCACTAAAAAACTTAAAAAATCTAAAAAAATTCATTCCTATCCACTTGTTCACTTTACCATAAATTATGTCATATAAACATTGCTGTAATATTCAAGGGTATCAAACAACTAGTTCACTTTAAAAATACAGAGATTCTTGTATTGCCTTTTACTGCAAAAACTTTTTTTATTGGCAAGCAATAAAAAAGTCGAGCGCGCTGTCTTACGGACAGCTCTTGTTTATATAGACCATTCATAACATTTAAGCTGTATAGAGGAATAATGATTATTTATATTAGTTAATTTGTTACTATAGGAAAACCAAGAAATGTAAACATATCAATTCACTAAACAGACAGCATCTAAATTAAGGTAAAGCACAAAAACAGTGTTTATTCTAGGAGGGGGGACGGGGGGATTCACTCCTATTTTTGAAAATTCCCCCCTATTTTTTCAGAGACAGGGGGAAAATTTTACATAGCGAAAGAAGGAAAAAAATCAACAAATGTAATTTATTCTCACTTTTCGATAAAAATCCCCCCTGTTTTTCAAATCCTAGAATAGACACTGACACTGACAAAAACCATAATTTCTGATATAACTGACTTGTCAAAAGAATAAAAATTGAGGAGAAGTCAACCAGGAGCATGTAGTCAAAATTGATGACTTTAGAGATGGAATATTTCAACAAGACACATTCCGCAAAAAAATCTTGATAGTTTCACAAGCCTAAATGGCCATAATCGCCCATATGTATAATTGTGCATAATATATGTATACATGTATATGAATATAATTTATGTTAAAATGTACATTTATTGATATACATGCGGTTTTAAGTTTTGTACATGTATATATGTTTGCCTGACTTTGTCATTATGTTTTAGTATAATATCTTTAAAATAAATGAGTCATCTTTTCTGTGCACAATGTCAATTTTGTATACCTTTTGTGTTCATTTTTGTAATGTCACTCATGATGTCATCATCATTTTACGCTATTGTTTTGTATTATGTTTCAAATGCCAGACGTGAATAACAAGCCTTTTAGTACATGTTTTAATAAAGTTTTACTCTCTTATTATTTAACAAACAATGACATGTAATATCCTAATAATTGGTCAATTATGACCTGCATAATGTCCAACTCGATGCTGTTTTTATTTATTTCATTAAACAAATTTATTCTTGATTAATAAACTGCATTAATATATGTATGTTTATAATACAGTTAGAATATGTTCCACGGTTTGGCATCCTTGGCAAAAATATCTGGTTTACAAAATGGAACAAGTTCAAAGGTCAGCTGCCAGATATGTATACAAATACAATGACTACAATTACACCAGTAGTGTATCTAAAAATGGTAAAAAAAAAAGTCAATAGGAAGAAAAATATATTTATAAGCTTAAAGAATATATTAAAGGCTATACATGTATGTGCCTAATTATCAGATGCAGCAGATACCAAACTGGTTGAGAAAAATCTTTAATTCAGAAAATTTTCAATTCAAAAAAAAAAATATATAAAATAAATTATAAAATACAATCATGTACCAATATGAAATTATATGCCAAGAGAAATGTTAATGTCAATTATAAAATGTTTCTTGTAGTGCATTCATCAGTATATTATGACAAATAAAAATATACCAGGAAACAGCATAAAAGATGATAAACTTGTTTTAATTGGTAATTTTCAGCAATATTATCAGTTGGAAAAATTCCTGTTTTTGGCATATGTTTACTTTAAAAAAAAGAAAAAGAAAAAAAAGACTAATCTATGAAATTTAAATCACATGTATCAGTCTAGTTTTATGTCAGAATTATTTTATTTTAAGTTTCCACTAATAGACTGAAAAGAATCAGTTGCTATGTTTTCTATTAGTTAAAAAATATTTTTATGAATATTTATTACATGCTTTTCGGTGGTTTATAGAAATATATCAGTGACATAAAAACTGATAATTCACTGTTTTAAACAGTGAAATTATCAATTTGATAATTTCACTGTTTTGAATATTTGAGTCCGGTACGTTGTTTCAGTGAAATACAAGCGTTCACAATACTGGAAACCAACTAAATGACATGACGTCGTAAATTACGTCACGTTGTATTATTATTTGGCGCCCTGTTCATTTAGTACTATGTTAAAATGTCTTTTTAAACGTTTCTTTGCATGTAATAAAAAGAAAATTTGTTTAGTTTAGTGTAAGATTGAAATATATTTCACCTCGTGAACACCAAAAGTTCATATCTCACTCGTGGCTGCCCCACTCGTGATATATTCCTTTTGGTGCTCACTCGGTGAAATATATTTCGATCTTACACTGAACTAAACAAATATCCTCTATGTACATGTAACTTTCTTTTTTTTTACTGATGAATATTTGTCAATACACTTTCACATCGGCTAAACTCAATTGTCAGATATTTGTAATTTCCTACAAGACTGTTTTGTTTGATGAACTTTGGCATTCTTATTTCTTCCTTGCTGTCTTTGCTGTAATCCACAAGTAGATTTTATTAGAAATTCTAATGCTAGCTGTATTTGACCTTTTACAGAGTCCAAAACAGTTGGATATTTTAAATGCACAATTTAAAATCAACATTTGACTTGCAAAAATAATCTGATAAATGAGAAAGAAAGTTTAAATGTTATCACAATGAATGATGTAGATCGCATACACATCTATCAGGAAATATTTATTATACACAGTTAGTACTAGGGCTTTGGTAACTACCTGTCAGGTGTCAATCCTATCCAATCAACGATTCACACCATAATGTTTATAAACATTTTAAAATGAAAAAGTTAAAAATGCAAATCAAGAATGACATAGTTTTTAATGTTTAAGTTTACCTTCAAACTTTCAGCTGAAAATAAATAATTGAGAAGAGTGTAAATGCACGTGAATGTTTTATACATTATTTAGACAATTACAACATACATGTATCCAATCAGATTAAAACTAGCTCCTAATTTATGCTATGCATTCAGGGCCAAAAAACCCTTCTTTGTAGAGGCCGAATATAGGCTGCTTCCCCAACCCAGGGCTGCAGATAACATGCGTATTTGCGTTATTACCCAATTAAAATGTCTAAAAACCCAATAGAAATAATAACTAAGGGTAAGAAAAAGTAAATGAATTCTTATTTATACAAACTACATTTGAACTGGTACGTAATGACGAAAATTATTACTTAATGCGTACATCAGGCAGATCATACTGTTTCAGACTGTTTTAACCTTTAAATTATATAAGGCAATTCGGATATCTCCTAGGCCAATAAACCATAAAGCAAAGTAGTAAGTAGCTTTTTTATAACCGTACAAAACCTACAAATGTCTACAATGAAGGTCAAAAATTTTGGGTAAAATGCATGAACTTGTACTTTATAACCCAAATTGGTTAGAGGGGGTAGGGTAAAAAATACAGAAATAACTCAAAGAAAATAGAAAAAACCCAATAGATCACAAAATAAGGGGTAATTACCCAATATACACAAAATGTTATCTGTAGCCCTGCCAACCAAAATAGCCTCTTTTTTTCCCCAGTTTGGTCCTCAAAATTCCCCAGTCTTTTGAAATTTCCCATAGAATTTAGAACAAAATTAAATGATGATGTTGAATTAAGGTCTTTTACTGCCTTATTACTATTTCCCAGTGCTATTTGCTTTTCTATTTTGAAGAACTTGTTAAAAGTTTGTATTAAATTTGAGACCTATTTTCCCAAAGTATGCCAAAACCCCAAGAAAAGGGTGAGGCCCCTTCCCCAAAAATGGTGATTTGGCCCTGGCATTAAACTTAGGATCTGAAGGGCACCAATAGGAGGTCACCTTCTCATGACCTTTCGAATAGCCAATCATTAGCAAGCTTTTACAATGTTGAAAGTTATGCAGTTTCTAATTTTAACTGCTAGAAAACCAATACTGAGTAGGTAATTTTTATGATTTCAAGAATAAACATGGCTTTATCCATATAGCTGGCGGGTAAACTGGCAAAACAATTCTGTCCATTAAAATTTAGTCTATTATTTCCAGTTTATTTGTTTCAAATTACTACAATTTTTTTTTCTAACAAAGATCAACAATTTGCTTTACTTCCATTGACAGCAATATTTTTATACTTCGTCTAATGCCTATCTGTTAAGGGCGATTTAATTGCATGGCTAAAAATAGCTTTTTCAGCAAAAAACAAATATTGTGGCAATCAGATCTACATGCAAGAAACTATTTAAGTAGATCTGAATTTTAGTAAGATTGCATAATTATCTAAACTTATGTAAGATGTTTGATTGTTATTTATATAGGATGTGACTCTGGATTTGGTCTTGCTCTGGTGAAGAAGTTAGACAGCATAGGTATGAGAGTGTTTGCTGGATGTCTTGATAAAGATGGTACTGGTGCTGCAGCCATTAGAAATAACTGTTCAAACAGGTAACTAAAAAAAATGTTTAACATTTATACAGGTAATAAATAAAAGTGGCAAGTTATATTAGATAATACATATATGTGGGAATTTAAAATAGGTAATGCACATAAGTGAGAAGTTAAAATAGGTAAGATATAATTGGTTAAGTTTAAATTGGTAATATACATAGCTGGGAAGTTATACTAAGTAATACTGATTACTCATAAGTTGAAAGTTAAAATAGATAATACACATAAGTGGGAAGTTAAAATAGATAATACACATAAGTTCATTACCGTGGTTTGAAAAATAAAATGCAGAAGTGTAATGAGATTTCATCAGTCATGCATTGCTTCATGTATAACTATTGTACATTACACTATTAAATGTAAGGCTGTGCATTCCCATTTTTTTCTGTCACGATACATATCACGATACTTGCATTTCCAAACGATGCGATTCACGATATGTATTGCACACTTTGATAAAATGCGATGCATATTGCGATTCTTATGTTTCGATGCAATACGTATCACAATATTGACTTTCAGACTTTATCTATATAAAAAACTTGGTCATTTGTTCACAGCATAATTACGAATCTTATCTAATATAAAACTATCACGATAAAAAAACAATAAAATTAGAAAATTACTCTTCAACTTGTTATTATAACTTATTTTCAAGTTTTGATCTTTCAACAATTTACATTACTTATTACTTAAGGATTTTTACTTTTTACTTAAGGATTAAAGATATTTTTCATTATACCATAACTATTAGTGTATTGCGATACATTCCTGCTATATCGATGCATCGGGTGGTGAAATATGTATTGCATCCTGATATATTGGAATTTATAAATTCCTTACGATGCATACATCGAGGACAGGGCAGATCGCGATGTATCGATGCATCAATGAATCATTACACCTCTAATAAAATGTTCTCTGAAATATGCAGATTCCTTCAATAGGTAAAATAGTTACACTATTATATACACTGACTCCTGTTTATGTAGTATATACATGTATATGCAAGTTTTCATAAACTACTGTTATTATGCTTTTTAGCTCACCTGTCACAAAGTGACAGGTTGAGCTTTTGTGATCGCTTTTCGTCCGGCGTCCATCCGTCCGGCGTCCGGCCGTAAACTTTTTCTTTAAATGACATCTCCTCATAAACCGCTGAGCCAATTTCATCCAAACTTCACAGGAATGTTCCTTTGGTGGTCACCTTTAAAAATTGTTCAAAGAATTTAATTCCATGCAGAACTCTGGTTGCCATGGCAACCGATAGAAAAAACTTAATATCTTTTAAAAAACCCAAAGAGGTAGAGCATAGATATTTGGCATGAAACATCTTCTAATGCGTGTCTATCAAGTTTGTTCAAATAAAAGCCCTGGGGTCAAAATTGGCCCCGCCCCAGGGGGTCATTGATTTTCCCTATATGCATATAGTAAAAACTTAAAAAATCTTCTTTTAAAGAACCCAAAGAGCTAGAGCTAAGATATTTAGCATGAAACATCTTCTAATGGGTGTCTACCAAATTTGTTCAAATAAAAGCCCTGGGGTCAAAATTCGCCCCGCCCCAGGGGGTCATTGATTTTCCCTATATGCATAAAGTAAAAACTTATAAAATCTTCTTTTAAAGAACCCAAAGAGCTAGATCTAAGATATTTAGCATGAAACATGTTCTAATGGGTGTTTACCAAATTTGTTCAAATAAGAGCCCTAGGGTCAAAATTTGCCCTGCCCCGGGGGTCATTGATTTTCCTTATATGTGTAAAGCAAAAACTTTAAATTAAAAGTTCTTTGAAAAAACCAAAGAGCTAGAGTTTAGATACTAAGCATGAAACATCTTCTAGTGAGTGTCTACAAAGTTTTTTCAAATAAAAGCCCTTGGGTCAAAATTGGCCCTGCCCCGGGGGTCATTGATTTTATTTATGTGTAAAGCAAAAACTAATAAAATCTTCTTTGAAAAAACCCAAATAGCTAGAGTTTAGATATCAAGCATGAAACATCTTCCAGTTAGTGTCTTCAAAGTTTGTTCAAATAAAGCCCTAGGGTCAAAATTGGCCCTGCCCCGGGGGACATTGATTTTCCTTATATGTGTATAGCAAAAACTTCTTTAAAAAAAAACCGAATAGCTAGAGTTTAGATATCAAGCACGAAACATCTTCTAGTGAGTGTCTCCAAAGTTTGTTCAAATAAAAGCCTTTATACAGGTGAGCGACTTCAGGGTCATCATGGCCCTCTTGTTTAGGAGAGGCAGGGTGGGTATGTTATGCCATTATTGTATCAGGTACTGGGTACATGACTGTAGGTTCTTTAGTTGAACCACTGACCTTCATTTAAATGAGCTGCATACATGTAGCTTCCTCACATGCAAGAATAAGTCCTTGAACTTAAATTCAAACCCACAGTTGTGAGCGGCAAGAAATTTTAAGTTAGTGGCCACTTGGCCAAACAAAGTGGATGAATAGGCACTATGGTCACCTACTCTTTACTTTCCTTTCATAAAAATCATTGATAAAACTTGTAAGATTTTTACCAATTTAATTCTACTTTACTAGTCTACTGATTTATAGTAATGGTAATTGATTGGTTTGCTTTAATATGAGTCTGCCGCCATGTTAATGTCCATTTATACGGAGATTTTATGTTTTATTAATATAAATGTGTGTGTTTCAAAAGAAGACGTATAACTTAGCCTAGGGAACATACAGTATTTTCCATTGAAGTTAATAGAAATAAGTTATAAAATCTCAACATATTCAGAAATAGCTCCTACTCCATTAATAACTGGTTAGAAAATAAATATAGTGATGAAAATGAAATTACATGTACTGGTATGTCATATCTTACATAAAACATACAGTTACACTTGTTTTGCTGATAAATCATGTTTCTTTAAAGGAACTCCACTAAAGTCAAAGAGTCTGAAAACATAAAATTTGAATTTCCTACACAGATAAGTTGTGGCACTTAAAACAGGAAGGTGTACAAAATGTAATCAAGAAATAAACTCAGATTAAATTGAAAATTGTATTTTCGTGCTATTCTTAGCCAGATTTTAGTGAAAATCATGGCAACGCTTTTAATTGCAATTTTGGGTCATTATGCGCAATAAGAATAATTAAGAATAATAAGAATGATTATTCTGAGAAAAATAGAGCAAGCTCACACACAAGTTATTTGTCTAGACCTTCATCAAGTGAAACATTACGGTAACCCTGAAAAATTATTTCCAGTTCTACCATGTCAAAACATCCTCAGTGAAGTCCCTTTAAGTATTTATATGTTTTTCAGTCTGATTTACAAAAAAAAAATGCAAACAAAATTATGTACCTATTTGAAGGCATGCAGCTTAAAGGGTATTAATCTATATCATATGAAATATTTTTATGAAATTAATCAACAGTAAAGTTATATTGGTTCAACTATTGTATGGTTGATTCCCAAAAAAGTTGTAACATAGAATGTCTCTGTTATTTAACAGGTTAAACATGATTATTGTATGTAAACAGAATAAAATATTCCAGAACAGAATATTATTTGCTATTTTAAGTACTGTTATTTCTGTTTAATTACATGTATGGTTTTGTGCATGCGTCATTCAGTTTTAAGGCAATTATCTACCATGTTTCTTTCATACAAACATTTTGGAAGTATTCTTTTTTAAAATTCAAACAATAATTTTTGCAGCAGATATTTAGCTTTATACCCTTTAAAAGTACACTGCTTGTTTGATATTGTTAATATAGTTTTAAACATTGATGTCACACTTGTCTCTTTAGACCTTATAAGATGATTAATGTACAGTAAATCTAATCAAAAATACATGTAGGTGCCAGACATGTAAACAAGGATAATTATGTCTGGCAATCCCCAGACTTACCAGTCAGTACATTAAGCTTCTTTACTCCCATCACAGAATAACAGATGCTCACAATAACACCCCCTGTCGACAAATCTTCACTGCTTTGACATTTATAATTTCTGATAAAAACAGGATTAAACAGCACAAGCTCAAAGTTTAACTGATAGGTTTGAATGAACCGTGTCTCAAATTTTTCCTATCTTTTCTCAAAAAAATATTACGTAACGTCAAACATTTTGTGCGACTTTTTTCACCATACATATTACGTAATTAAAGATAATTAAGTCGCTGATTGAGCAAACAAAAATCCCTCACACGGTTCCCTCCGTAAATGAATTCCCTTTCATGTGCTTTAAACCGCATGTTAATTGCTTGATTATTAAAAAAGTTATGCCGATTCAAAGTTAGTCCGACCCGCATCAAACGAAGTGTCATAAATCGGCTGTTCTCTCTCGGACCCCTACGTTTCACGGTAAATAATTGCATAATACACAAATATCGCACTCGAGAGGGTCACAAGTTGCGGTAACATACTCTAACAACATTTTATGACCCAGTGACATCAGACCAATTAAAAAGTTGCTGATTAATATCAGTTTATAACAGAAATTTCTTCAAATCTTAACGTGATTTACCGTCCGTCTGGTATCGGTCGCACATGTCACGTGACTCTCGGTAAAATTTGAGGCACTCGGTGGGGGGAAGTGGCACGTATTTGCGCACCGCTAGCGGGGTATTTTGAAGTTTATTATTATTATCATCAGCATTATAATTATATTATACCAGTGTCACTCTGTGTATTCGTTTATGAAATTCTGTTAAAATATAAATTAAAATAATAAAAAAACTGAGCTTCTGACGGTCTTTTAAAGTCCATGGTAGATGTACAAATAAGAACGGGATATTATATATTTTTCCTCCAAATTGATATAAATGCTTCACATATTTTAATAGAAGTAAAAGGTATCACTCGGTCATTATGATCTGACCTTCTTGACTTCTATTATCATGAATATCATCTATGCATCTAAGCACGGCATAGAGATCCAGTTTCTACTGGGATATACAATAAATTCCATACTTTGTCCCAGGTTTATTAGTACTGTGTTCGATTTACTGGCGAACAATTTATTCAAAGCATTCACTGATAATATATTTTATTATCTTTTTTTATTGATTCATAGAGAAATAATCATCCTTAGACAACCTAAAATGGTTTAGAAATTTGTCAGGGACACCTTACCACAAGTCATATAGGCGTTCACATAAAAAATGTTGTCTGTTTTTGTTGTTGTTTTACTTGACATTGTTAGAATGTGAAGCAAGCCCTTGAATCCGTACAAAAGTCCATAAACTCAATGTAATATCTATCAGATTAACGGGACAGACAAATTATTTTCACACATTATGGATATTTTAGCAACTATATTTTTAATCAACCCCATGGTCGTGCGATTTGCCGCTATGCTTATAATTATTTATGTTTCATAGATTATGTTACGTACATTGGCCGACAATTTCTTATATAATTTTTTATATAAAAGGTAGACGATATTCGGTATTTGTACGATACATGAATTACGAGTAGTATGGACCAGTATGGACCGGTAATTCACGCATGTATGGAACTACCAATTTCCCTCATTGATGCCTCAACAGGGGGCGGAGCGTTATCGATAATTGACAGGTTATGCGAATAGCAGATAAAAATGGTACAGGTACCGTTTTAAAACGTTTAAAAACACATTTTTTGGACTAACTGCTTCCAAAATTAAATCACGAATGTGTTCAGAAAAGATGGATAAATCTACTAAGCAAAAAATCTAATTTTAGGTATTTTCATTGATAATTGACTCCGTTGTCACCTTAATTAAAAAATAATGCACAGCAAGGAGTTACAGTTTCTTATTCAGGCTTCTTAGAGGAAAATAATTTCTTCAGGGAAAATTATATTCTACATTTAACAATTGTAAACTATAGAGTTATTGATTTGAAGTGTGATAATAGATGACTAAGTGATTAAACTCAAAAATTATTTTGACGGTTTTTTATAGCCTTAAAAATGACTTTTGAAACATCGAGTTGACAAAGATTTGCTTTGTAATTATTATATATTTATAGTCACTAGTCACTGTATTTGTGATTGAATTAGTGAAAGCTATTGACCTCAAGGAGCTCACATCTCAGAGTTTTGTTTTTGTTTTTTTTTAGCTCACCTGTCACAAAGTGACAGGGTGAGCTTTTGTGATCGCTTTTCGTCCGGCGTCCGGCGGTCATCCGTCCGGCGTCCGTCCGTAAACTTTTGCTTTAAATGACATCTCCTCATAAACCACTGAGCCAATTTCATCCAAACTTCACAGGAATGTTCCTTTAGTGGTCACCTTTAAAAATTGTTCAAAGAATTTAATTCCATGCAGAACTATGGTTGCCATGGCAACCGAAAGAAAAATCTTTAAATATCTTCTTTTAAACAACCCTAAGAGCTAGAGCTTAGATATTTGGCATGAAACATCTTCTAGTGAGTGTCTACCAAGTTTGTTCAAATAAAAGCCCTGGGGTCAAAATTGGCCCCGCCCCAGGGGGTCATTGATTTTCCCTATATGCATATAGTAAAAACTTAAAATCTTCTTTTAAAGAACCCAAAGAGCTAGAGCTAAGATATTTGGCATGAAACATCTTCTACTGAGTGTCTACCAAGTTTGTTCAAATAAAAGCCCTGGGGTCAAAATTGGCCCCGTCTAGGGGGTCATTGATTTTTCCTATATGCATATAGTAAAAACTTAAAATTATCTTCTTTTAAAGAACCGTAAGAGCTAGAGCTTAGATATTTGGCATGAAACATCTTCTAGTGAATGTCTACCAAGTTTGTTCAAATAAAAGCCCTGGGGTCAAAATTGGCCCCGCCCCAGGGGGTCATTGATTTTCCCTATATGCATATAGTAAAAACTTAAAAAATCTTCTTTTAAAGAACCCAAAGAGCTAGAGCTAAGATATTAAGCATGAAACATCTTCTAGTGAGTGTCTACCAAGTTTGTTCAAATTAAAGCCCTGGGGTCAAAATTGGCCCCGCCCCAAAAACTTAAAAAATCTTCTTTTAAAGAACTCAAAGAGCTAGAGCTAAGATATGATGTTCTAATGGGTGTCGGGGGGGGGGGGGGTCATTGATTTTCCTTATATGTGTATAGCAAAAACTTATAAAATCTTCTTTGAAAAAACCCAAATAGCTAGAGTTTAGATATTAAGCATGAAACATCTTTAAGTAAATATCTACAAAGTTTGTTCAAATAAAAGCCCGGGTGTCAAAACTGGCCCTGCCCCAGGGGTGTCATTGTTTTTAACTATATGTGTATAGTAAAAACTTTAAAAATCTTCTTTTAAAAAACCCAATGAGCTAGAACTTAGATGTTTAGCATGAAACATCTTCTTATGGGTGTCTACCAAGTCTGTTCAAATAAACAAATAAAAGCCCTTGGGTAAAAATTGGCCTGGGGGTGGGGGGGGGCCTATATACAGGTGAGCGACCTCAGGGCCATCATGGCCCTCTTGTTTCATTTTCTTATGTGACTTCTAATATTCCTCATATTATATATAAATCTTGAGACAGAAAGATTTATTTTATCAAAAGCATGTGAAAATGTCATAAATTTCAGCCACTCATATGATTTTGTTTGATCTTTTCTTTTATGAATAATTTATAAGAAACTATGTTTACTTTTAGCAGGAAGCACACAGGCGAACATAAATTGCTGAATTTATAATGTAATGGATTTTACTTTGAATTTGGAACAGTCCATTTTGAAAGTAAAAAAAATAGATTTTAATGAATGAAAATTGAGTTGGCAACAGTGTAGAGATCATAGTTAGACTACACAGAAGTGCAGTATGGCCTGGCTCTCTAAAGACAAAGACAAATCAGTTTTGGTTCCAGCAGGTTATGGTTAATTTATATTAAAGGGACTCCACTGAGATTTTTTGACATGATGGGACTGAAAATATTTTTCCAGATAAATGTACCATTTAATGTAGGTTTAGACCACTAATCTTTGTGCAAAATTTCAGATCATTTCCGAGCTTCGTTTTTCCAGAATAATTATTTAAATTTTAAAAAATGACCCGAAATGAAAAGAGTTCAAACACTTTTCACTCAAATTGGGCTAAGAAAAGTATAAAAATATGATTTACAGTTTATTTCACAGTAAATTTCTTAACTATCTTTGCATATTTTTTTCTGTTTTAAGTGCCCCAGCTCATTATGTAAGAAATTCAAATGTTATGTTTTTAGGCTTTTAAACCTCAATGGAGTCCCTTTAATATACATGAACATATACATGTTCATGTAGGGCTGTTACTTAAAATTTTATTCCATAAACAAATTGACTTAAGTTGAGCACCTGTCATGAAGTAACAATTGACACAATAACATGGGAACTTTGTTTTATTGATAAAAGTGACGATGAACATATTACACATACTTATATTTTTCAGGGTACATATATTACAACTAGATGTAACAAATGAAAAAGAAATCTCCGCAGCTGTTCATGTTGTCACTAGCCAAGTAGGGGAACAAGGTAGTTCTTTTGTACATACTTCATATTATATGTACAAAAGTCTCTTTTTCTAAGGGATGATTCCATGGAGGAGTGGTTATGGGTACACCTGTTTGCTGTTGAATAAGTTACCACTGATATCTTGTACATCCTCTCACTGCAATTGTGTACAGATGGTTGATAAATCCCCTTATAATTTAGCTTTCAGACTGTTGTGTGAAATGGAGAAATTGTCTGAAATATACAAATGGGCCCATCTTGATTCTTGCATTGAAGCCTTTTGCATTCCAGTGGTTAATATTAAAATAATTGTTCTGCCAAATCTGTTGTGTTTTCTCATATTAATGTACATGTGGCAGTGGAATATTAACTTATCTGCACCCAGCATGTTCAGTTAACACGTTTTCTTTAGCTTCACAGTCAATTATTCAATATTGGCTGCTGATACTGGAAATGTTAGTAAGAGTGACATAAGAGGGATTTTAATTTGAAACCATGTGGCTGGAGGGAATATTTTGATCTTTTATATTCAGCCAACAAAACAAACAAATATTTATGATTCCATTTTAAAACCATAGTCATATTTTAATATTTATTTTGTATTTATTATGTTTCACTTCCCTAATAGAGATATTAAATTGAAAGCAACATGGTCTGTGGAAGCTAAAAGTAACCAATTAATTTTCTGTCATTTCATATTTTTGCCAGGTCTATGGGGTTTGGTGAATAATGCTGGTATATGGTATTTCTCGGAGCTTGAGATGATGTCAGAAACAATCATAAAGAAGATAATAGATGTTAACCTATTTGGTGCTATAAGAATGACAAAATCACTGCTACCACTTATACGCCAAGCTAAGGGAAGAATTATAAATGTTTCAAGTGTTCTAGGTAACATGTTTTACTGTAACTTATATCACATTGATAATTTCTCACGTTTTCAGTACTTCATCACATCAGTTGTTTTGATTTATTCTTCACAATTTTCAGGATAAGTCTTTTGGGCCGTCTCAATAAACTATCAAAGCTAATAAAATACTCTTACTACCACAGTAGTAATCATTGCCAGTAATGTCAAGATCATGTGGTGCAATATATGGACAAGAATTGTGGCAAAGTACCACTATTGGCAGTTTCAATTCTGTTACTAAAATTCCTTTTAGGATCTCTATATCTTTTGTCATTTGTTGGTAAGAGTATGATTCAACTCAAATGTTGTGTTTTCAAACATTATAGTAAATGAAGACCAATTTCCCTGTTTTCCAAATTTTACTTTTCATTGTGTTACTTTTGTTTCTATGTCTAGTGCTTTTCCTTTGAGATCAATTTTTTTGTGATTGCTTTTTTGATAGATTTTTTCATCATCTGAAAATGCTAAAAGTTTGGTGATATTTAAATGAACCTTTTAAAATTTAAAATAACTTTTCATGCTATGTTCCATGCAAGACATAAATATAAGAAATATTTTAATGGGTATTTTTATGAGGATGGAAGGATCAAATTCTTCGATATTTCAGGATTGTTGTAATTAGAAGTGGGTCATGGAATATATAATACAATGATGTATGTAATTTATGATGTAATACTTCCATACATTGTATAATATAACAATCGTTAAACATCATGTTGGGTTGAAAATATATGACACACTGTACATCGTATAAAGTAACACTTGCATAACTTATGCATCTACATCATATATTGACAATATGAATTAACTTTGTCACCATTTACAAGGTGTTAAGAACATGTCCAAAATGAATATTTATTACTGATACTGTGATACTTTTGGTACACACTGAGGAAAGAGAAATTGTGTGAAAAAGGTCTTTTTCTTTTCACACAAACTATTGCTTTTCTTAGGTTTAAAGTTATAGATAACACAGTACAAAATTACTTTTCAGATATTTGGTTAAAGATTATTATAAAAGAAGCCTTGCACATTATGCATATTACATGTGTACCTTATACAGTTTATTTTTAGTTATTAGAACCTTTATTCACGTGCTTCATAAATGTATAAATTTCAGATAAAATGCAGTGTGTGTTTTGTTTTGTTATGTAATATGTGTTTTATCCTTTTTGTAGGCATGTCTGGTAAAGATTTCTGTTCCAAATGGCACTAATACCATTTTTTCCCAAGGAATAATGTCAAAAACTTCCCAATGATTTTATAATTCATCACTTGCCAAACATTGCAAAATGTTTCATTTTTTTTAATGCAATATTTATTTTTTAATGCATTTTACCTTATTGCACAACTCAAAAAAAAAGTAAAAAAAGCAAAAACACTGCAACGTTTCATTTAAGTTGAAAACAAAAAGATGTGCCATTAAGGTTTTTGTTTGCTTTATCATAACATAAAACATCTTTGTCTTATTTTTGGTATTTTATTTCATAGGAAGAATCTCAATGGAGGGTCATGGTGCTTATGGTATATCTAAACATGGGCTTGTAGCATTTTCTGATACACTTAGACAAGAAATGAAGAAATGGAATGTTAAAGTCTCAATAATAGAGCCTACAGGATATTCCACAAGTGAGTTACTTTTTACCATCCTTCATGTAAAAATCTTAAATGATCCTAAAAATCTTAACCCTTTACCTCATATATACGCGAAATAACGCACTTTCGACCCCTTCCCCCTCTTTTAGGCCTCAAATAGTGAAAAAATGTCCTGTTTGGGCCCCAAACACATGTTTTCATTTGAGAAATTTTGATAAAAAAATTAACCACTTTTTCGGCGCGGTCCCCCATACCAAAAGATACATCAGGGGGTTGCCAGAAGGGTGATGTGCCCCCTTCTGTTTGGGGGGTTTGAAGGGGTGCAGTAGTCCTCCTCATTGCCAAGAAAATTTTGGACTTGTGAGAGGCTAAAAATGACCCCAGATCGATCATAAGGTAACGTGTAACCAACGCTGAAAAGCATTTGAAGTTAACTCAATCCATTAAGAAGTTGCAGCACTTTGAAATCAATTTGCTGGAAAATCAACGCAGAATAGTGAGATGTCGCCTTGTTGCCATGGTCACAGAAAATTTAAGCCTGAGCATGTTGTTACAAAGGCAATGGTCCAGTTAACATTTGTGCCAAGTTTGATTAGTATTGAAGCAGTTTTTAGCTCGACTATACGAAGTATATGGAGAGCTGTCCTACTCGCCCCGGCGTCGGCGTCGGCGTCCGCGTCCGCGTCCAGATTTTAGATTAAAGTTTTGGTGCAGTAAAATATTTTTCACTATAACTTTGTCATTTCTTAAGGTATCAACTTCAAACTTCAAATATATGTTCCTTATCATCATCCCCATGTTAAGTGACAAGGTTCATAACTCTAGCACCAATATTTTCAGATTTATCTCCCCTTGAACTTAGAATTTTCCTCAAAAAATACTATTTCTTACTGTTTCTTCTTTATTTCTTAAGGGATCAACCTCATACTTCAAATATATTTACGTTATCATCATCCCCATCTTATGTGACAAGGTTCATAACTCTAGCACCAATATTTTCAGATTTATCTCCCCTTGAACTTAGAATTTTCCTCAAAAAATACTATTTCTTACTGTTTCTTCTTTATTTCTTAAGGGATCAACCTGATCATACTTCAAATATATTTACGTTATCATCATCCTCATCTTATGAGACAAGGTTCATAACTCTAGCACCAATATTTTCAGATTTATCTCCCCTTGAACTTAGAATTTTCCTCAAAAAATACTATTTCTTACTGTTTCTACTTTATTTCTGAAGGGATCAACCTCATACTTCAAATATATTTACGTTATCATCATCCCCATCTTATGTGACAAGGTTCATAACTCTAGCACCAATATTTTCAGATTTATCTCCCTTTGAACTTAGAATTTTCCATAAAAAATATTATTTTTGACTGTAACTTATTTATTTCTAAAGGGATCAACTTCATACTTCAAATGTATTTACGTTATCATAATCCACATCTTATGTGACAAGGTTCATAACTCTAGCACCAATATTGCAAGAATTATCTCCCCATAAAACTTAGATTTATTTACTAGAAAAATGTTATTTTTTATTTTAACTTTTTTATTTTTAAAGGTATCTACCTCAAACTTCAAATACTTATTCCTTATCATCAATTACATTTTATGTGACAATGTTCATAACTCTTGAAGCAATATTTACAGATTTATCTCTCTTTGAACTTAGGTTTTCTTAAAGAAATATAATAACTTCTTTATTTTTTAAGGTATCTACTTCAAACTTCAAATATATATTTCTTATCATTACACAAATGTTGTGTGGTAAGGTCCATAACTCTAGCATGACTATTTCTAAAATTATTCCCCTTGATCTTGGAATTTATGTTAACAAATGTTATTTTTTTACTATAACTTAATACATAATTATACATAATTGATTTTTCTTTCATAGTTTTGTCCTCCTTACTGCGTCCAGTATTTTATTAGTCGAGCTTCGCTGTCTTCTGTGACAGCTCTTGTTATAGTTTTATAGCAATTTGAACTTGTAACGGGAGACTTTTCAATGAAAACAGCCATTTTTAACAAAATGCTCATGAAGTAATGGAATAAATGGACTTGTCCATTTTTCAATCTGGACTAAACCATTCTTTGTTTTAATGGAAAGTTTCAAAATAGATAGACTGACTGATTAATGTCAACCGTATATACCAATTGACCAAGGTCCACTCTGGTTGCTTGTGAAGAATGACTTGCTTCCACCTGGCTAAGGATTAAGAATTTCCATATCTGGTCAGTTATGTTGTTTTCCTATTCTTACGGCCATATCTAAAAATTGTTTTGTCAAAGTGTCCCTGCAGTTTATACACATGAATTTTATATACAAGAAAACTATATAAAATGTTTCCAAACAAAATACACAGAGTTTAGCAATGATATTATGAATGTGCTAAACATAATAGAAAATTAATTTACAATCATTATTCTTTCAATTAAGGTACTTCTGTATGATATTATTGAAAATACTATCCCATTTCTTACCAATTACTGACATTGAAATATAGCTGTTTATACTATAAGAAACATGTCAGCAAAACCAAACGTCAGTCATAACTTTAGCTGAATCAATTTAAAACAATAGCATTGTAACTAAAAAAATGTTTTCAATATTCGATAATAGTCATGGCCATTTACTGTAATATAAACTAAATTCTCGTGTTTTCTTACTCAATTTTATATCATAATCATCTCAAATGTTGTTATAATTTCTCAATTTTAGATAATAATCATAGTCATTCATGTGATATATTTAAAATGTTGTTATAATTTCTCAATTTTAGATAATAATCATGGCCATTTACTGTGATATATCTTAAATGTTGTTATAATTTCTCAATTTTAGATTATAATCATAGTCATTCACTGCGATATATCTAAAATGTTGTTATAATTTCTTAATTTTAGATAATAATCATGGTCATTTACAGTGATATATCTAAAATGTTGTTATAATTTCTTAATTTTAGATAATAATCATGGTCATTTACAGTGATATATCTAAAATGTTGTTATAATTTCTTAATTTTAGATAATAATCATAGTCATTCACTGCGATATATCTAAAATGTTGTTATAATTTCTTAATTTTAGATAATAATCATGGTCATTTACAGTGATATATCTAAAATGTTGTTATAATTTCTTAATTTTAGATAATAATCATAGCCATTCACTGCGATACAAGAGGGAGGAGATATGGGATACATTAGACGAGGAAGGTAGAAAAACATACGGGAGGGAATATTTAGACGAGGTTTATAATAGTTTGTTTGACACGCTTCACCGCTTCCCAGATGACTTGACGCCTGTGATTCGTGCCATGAGAAGCAGTTTACTTTCAAAACGACCAAGGGAGCGATACCCATGTGGAGCAGGTGCTGATATCATTACATACATTCATTGTCTGGTTCCCGTGTGGTTAGCAGATAAAGTATCGTCAAGTTTCGGTTTAATGTCAAAAACTGCGAAACCGGCACAACTCCAGGAGCTATGAACAAGAATGTTATAGGAACGTTTTAGTTAGTTATTTTTAGCTTAAGAAAATGAGCGCTTAGTTGAATTAGCTAGTGGAATCTAAGTCAGTTTATATGTCAAGCTAAAATGATTATTTATTTGTAAAGATAAGCTAGATGTTGTAAAATTTTGAGCTCAAGTGTTTCATCATTGGGAGTCTTGTATAAAGTATCCAATTTTAAGCCAAAATGTCAAGATGTCATTGATCAGAAATCTTAATGTATTTGTCACTATTTTCAAGTTTTAATTTGAATTGCACATGTTGCAAGATGTAGGGGTTTTATTTGAATTGATCATAAACGCATAGGAGGAAAGAAATATTATTGTTGTAAACTATAATTCTGTTATCATAGGATGTAAACAGAAACTTTTCCACATTGTTTATTATTTCAATAGGTGTATAGTATATTATTGGTATATATATTGCTAAGAGCCATATTATTGTTTGAAAATTTTGAGATTATTAATTAGTTTTGTTGCTTTTATGCACACTATAATGCATATGCTAGTTTTAGCAACATACTTTTGCTTTTTTTTCTAAATAAATAATGTTTATTTTCACCCTTTTTTATACACAGATCCTGTTATCTCCACAAACTGTAAAATGTTTTTGATTTTGTTTAAGATTATAATTATTAGCATTTTGTTAACTATGTTATCGATTACTTTTCTCTTTATTTTTAATAAAAAGCGAAAGTTTGCTAATTGGCATAAAAATGTGCTTTGAGATACAAAAGTGCTAATATAATCACAGTGTTTTTTCTGATATATAAAATATAAGATTTTGGCATAACTGTCTCAAGGATTTTTTCAGATTCTCTGTTTGATACATTGTAGTTATGAATTTCCTTAACAAAAACAAATTTTTCTTGTGACAGTAAGCACAATTTCCAGAGTTTTCAGTAAATTAAATTTGAAGAAGTGCATTGTGTAAATGAGATGTCATGCATATTGAATATATTTCAGAGACAGCTGAAACATAAAAATGATGTTTAATGATAAGTTTCTTTATGGTGATTGTCATTCTATTTGGTTCTTGAAAATACTAGCTTTCATGTTTTTGCCTTAAAAGTCTTAAGTAACATGTTTCTCTATAGAAATAGTGGTTTCAACAGTTACAGAAGTTAAGTGCAGTAGCAGTTTCAGACACCTGCATATATTTGTTTGGTTACAGCTGTTTTAAGAATAACAGGGTTTTAGCTCAGGTAGATTTATTTTGGCATAAAAATCTGACATAGTTTGTGTTTTTGGTATGTTTTAGCCTAGAAATCTCAATACCCAATCATTACAAAATTCAGTGTAGTCAGTAAAGAGAGGTGCAGGAAGTGTGACAATGTTCACATTTAAATTAAAATTTATTTAATTTTCAAATGAAATTTATTCATTTGAATTTATAATATTATCCCATTGAGATAATAAAAAAAACTAAGGAAATCCCCTTATCTTTTCATGTTTATTTTCAGTCTCATGGGTAATTCACTTCTTTATTTAAACTTCTTTTGACATCGTTTTAAAAAAATAATTAATAGGGTCGTTTTTCACTCTTTGATTTTTAGCTCACCTGTCATAAAGTGACAGGATGAGCTTTTGTGATCGCTTTTCGTCCGGCGTCCGTCCGTCCGTCCGTAAACTTTTACTTTAAATGACATCTCCTCATAAACCACTGAGCCAATTTCATCCAAACTTCACAGGAATGTTCCTTTGGTGGTCACCTTTAAAAATTGTTCAAAGAATTTAATTCCATGCAGAACTCTGGTTGCCATGGCAACCAAAAGGAAAAACTTTAAATATCTTCTTTTAAAAAACCATAAGAGCTAGAGCTTAGATATTTGGCATGAAACATCTTCTAGTGAGTGTCTACCAAGTTTGTTCAAATAAAAGCCCTGGGGTCAAAATTGGCCCCGCCCCGGGGGGTCATTGATTTTCCCTATATGCATATAGTAAAAACTTAAAAAATCTTCTTTTAAAGAACCCAAAGAGCTAGAGCTAAGATATTTAGCATGAAACATGTTCTAATGGGTGTCTACCAAGTTTGTTCAAATTAAAGCCCTGGGGTCAAAATTGGCCCCGCCCCTGGGGGTTATTGATTTTCCCTATATGCATATAGTAAAAACTTAAAAAATCTTCTTTTAAAGAACTCAAAGAGCTATGGCTAAGATATTGAGCATCAAACATGTTCTAATAAGTGTCTACCAAGTTTGTTCAAATAAAAGCCCTGGGGTCAAAATTGGCCCCGCCCCAGGGGGTCATTGATTTTCCCTATATGCATATAGTAAAAACTTAAAAAATCTTCTTTTAAAGAACCAAAAGAGTTAGAGCTAAGATATTTAGCATGAAACATGTTCTAATAAGTCTCTACCAAGTTTGTTCAAATAAAAGCCCTGGGGTCAATATTGGCCCCGCCCCGGGGGGTCATTGATTTTCCTTATATGCATATAGTAAAAACTTAAAAAATCATCTTTTAAAGAACTCAAATAGCTATGGCTAAGATATTTAGCATGAAACATGTTCTAATGGGTGTCTACCAAGTTTGTTCAAATAAAAGCCCTGGGTTCAAAATTGGCACCGCCCTGGGGGTAATTGATTTTCCTTATATGTGTATAGCAAAAACTTAAAAAATCTTCTTTGAAAAAACCCAAATAGCTAGAGTTAAGATATTAAGCATGAAACATCTTTTAGTGAGTGTCTACAAAGTTTGTTCAAATAAAAGACCTGGGGTCAAAATTGGCCCCGCCCCGGGGGTCATTGATTTTCTTTATATGTGTATAGCAAAAACTTAAAATCTTCTTTGAAAAAACCCAAATAGCTAGAGTTTAGATATTAAGCATGAAACATCTTCTAGTAAGTGTCTACAAAGTTTGTTTAAATAAAAGCCCTGGGGTCAAAATTGGCCCGGCCCCAGGGGTGTCATTGTTTTTAACTATATGTGTATAGTAAAACCTTAAAAAAAATCTTCTTATAAAAAGCCCAATGAGCTAGAGCTTAGATGTTTAGCATGAAACATCTTCTTATGGGTGTCTACCAAGTTTGTGCAAATAAAAGCCCTTGGGTTAAATTGGCCCTGCAACGTTGGGGGGGGGGTGGTTGGGGGGGCCTATATACAGGTGAGCGACATCAGGGCCATCATGGCCCTCTTGTTACATTACCGATTTTTCACAGAAGTTCATAAAAGAAAATTTTATAGAGTAAATTCATGTACATTATAAAAGCTACTACCTGTGTTACACTTTGCCAAATAGAGGTACAATTTTATCAAAAATAATGGTTCAAATAGAAAAATTGGAACTTAAAAACAATGTAAAATTAAAAAAATCAAAAAGTTAGTAATTTATGGTGTCTTCACAGCCATGGGGACACTCAAATAACTTTGATAAAGATCTGTTATCAACCTGGTATTAAATTTCTGTTTGATTTTTTATATAATAGATTTGAGAATATTCTTAATACATTATTGTCAACTATAAAAGGCTTGGTGTCATAATCTCTGTTTTAATAGAACAAAATTGTTGTGTTTAGTTGATTTACATTCTTAATTATTATAATAAACCAGTGAGTGAGTAAAAATGCACCTTTCTGTTAAACAGATCAATTTATTTGCTACATGTTTTGATTTTGATTTGTACATCAACGCTTCCTAGTAAGTGTCTGTTGTACTTGATTATCTCTTTTATAATCAGTTGTTAAATGTCACAATATTCCAATATTTTGACCAAGTGTTAATAACAAAAACACTGAAAGTAATCGAATAATAATTGAATAACTATATCTGTGTTACTATTTTGTTCACAAGCCTGATTTCAGTGGTTTCATTTTGTGTAAGGATGGAGGTGGGGGAGTTTCATTATCTCACTTTAACACTTTGTATGAAAAGAATTTGTCAAATTAAGTGTTACAGTGCTATAAACTTGTTCATAATTACGTATTCACATAGAAATATAAACTTGATATTTTCCCTTATAATTACTGTAATGGATAAGTTATCTTCCTATATGTTATCTTTTCCCTTATTACGTAATATACTTATAATGACTGATACTGTTAAATCATTCTTTAAACATTAAAAGAGCATATATTGTTTTTAATTTACCAAACATTTTTCATTGATAAATCCTGTAAGTATGACCAAATGGTTTCACGTCTATCTTTAAACGGTAAAGATCATAGTTTTGTCAGAAATTTAGGTGATTTTGAAAAATTCATGTATTAAATTATGAAAACCTCGCAAATATTATTTTTAAATAAAATGTATGTAGGGTAAATAATGAAACGATAACATAAACTGAACTAAATATACAATAAAAAGAATGCTATTTTAATAGAAATATACATGTATATGATATTTCTTTAATTATAATGTATGGATTTTAAGAGGCTCATGTAAGTTGTCAGAGCTATAGTTCAGTGTAACTATTTTTATTTATCTGATAATTTGTTTTACAAGCATTATTTGTTAGTTGTATCTAGTCTAGGTCAACTCATTTCACTGCCAGTGCTTGTTCACTAAAATTCTGAAAAAATAAAATGCTTCAAAATTGTCCTCCAAAGTAGGAGTATCTGCTTAAAGTGACAATATGCTCATAGTCAAGTTGAGCTGAATTGACTTTATTTCAGAACATTGACTGTTAAAATGGTGATTAACCAACAGTTTATATATGAAAATGTTTAGGATAAAATTTAAAATCTGTCTCAAAGTTACAGGTAAATTCTAATTGATCTTTACAGAAATTCCAGTTGGATCCGGGGGTTATTTGTTGTTTACGTGAAGTAAATTATTAAATTAAAAGAAAATATGGCAATATAAAAGCTTACTTTGACTCTCACCTGTTCACTCACTATATACCCTTGAATGGGCATAATGTCACTTTAACAAGGAGTAAATACATCAATATTATCATTTGTTTGTCAAAGTTATTGAACTTGGATAATCTGACTATAAGTTGATAATACCTCTGTACTGAAACTTTTATAATACCTCATATAATGTAATTATATATTTGTATGATAAAACTTGATGTGTCCAATACACTATTGTGGTTATATCACTTATATGAAGTTATCAAATTTTGTATAGGAATTACCTCATGACTAGGAATGGACCTTTCCGGTTTTTCGTAGCGGAACATTTAGCCACACCTTTTCCATTCATTGCTAGGTCAACTGCTCACAAACATTATCACAAACATAAGCACGTGTTCTTTTGTACAAAGCAGGTGATTGGATAACAAGTTAGCCAATTTACATTAAACTGTAAACACCGGAACGGTCCATTGTCTGTAAGGCAGGAATTGCATGTTGTTGTTTTTTTGGGGGGAGGGGGGTTGTTTTACTACAAGGTTTGTTTTTTTTGCACTGTTATCAAATATATAGGCAAAGGTTTCAAAGATGAAATAAGAACATACAGCTTTCTTATTGTTACAACCTTGTTAAAAGTTTAGTGCTGTCGGAGTAGGGGTTTATATTTTATGGAAAAACTTTGAATGTAATGTATGTTCATCATTTGATCCAGTTTTAATTTGACTACTGTAAGAGCAAATAGAAATTTTATACATTTATGGTGACAATATTGAGATATCAGTTCAGTTTGTATAGCTATATACCAAAATAGAAAGTGGATTTAGTGCATATCTCTAGCTTGCTTATTGCTATAAATATCTCCTTTAAAACCTGTGACATTTCACATGGGAATGACTTAAGATTTTTGGTTTAAACTATACAGACAGATCAAGAACCATTACCATGGCATGGAATTTGACTGAATAATTCACCATTTTAAACTAAAAAATTATATGTAAATTCCACATGGCTCTTGTTTACTGTCAAGCAGTAAGAATATCTGAAACCGCTGTCTCTATGTAGCTCACGTTTCATTTTGTTATGGTCCTCAGAAAATGAAATATCTTCTTGATGAAATAGATTTCATATTCACAGAACAGTATCATATCATCTCCTTATACATGTAATTGTAACCATAATTTGTTCAATTTGGTTTGTTTGAATTTAGCAAAGAAACCAATAGTCCCTTCACATCTAAAAAAAAGTTTCGAAAGTCAAATTTGAATTCATTATGTTGAGTAATTTATGAACAAATTGCATTCACAAACATCTTAAACTTTTTGTGTTTGTTCAATTTATATGTATACCATTGTGCTATATTCTTTGATTCCCTATTTAAAAACAATGCAAAAAGATTTTTTAACTTTGTAAATTGACAATATGATTTTTTTGTAACTGTTTGATTTATCTAACCTGTAACAAGATTCATTCATTTGTTCGTTCATTCAGTCAGTCAATCAGAACCTGTTAACATTTTCTGCTGTGGTTTTTCAGTACAAACTGCAATTATATTACTCAGTATAAAAAAAATTCATAAATTTAATTTCACATGTTCCAACAGGTTTGTCATAGATTCACTCAATGTTTTGCATTGTTTTTCATTAATTCATTCATTGTTTATGGGAGCTTTCATTGTTGATGGGAGCTTTCATTGTTTATGGGAGCTTTCATTGAATCATAGATTGTTTAACATGGTTTTTAACATGTTTTTTTTTTTTATTAATTCGTTTGTTTTTTTTATTAAATCATTTTTAGCTCACCTGTCACAAAGTGACAGGGTGAGCTTTTGTGATCGCTTTTCGTCCGGCGTCCGTCCGTAAACTTTTACTTTAAATGACATCTCCTCATAAACCACTAAGCCAATTTCATCCAAACTTCATAGGAATGTTCCTTTGGTGGTCACCTTTAAAAATTGTTCAAAGAATTTAATTCCATGCAGACTCTGGTTGCCATGGCAACCAAAAGAAAAAACTTTAAATATCTTCTTTTAAAAAACCCAAAGAGCTAGAGCTTAGATATTTGGCATGAAACATCTTCTAGTGAGTGTCTACCAAGTTTGTTCAAATAAATGCCCTGGGGTCAAAATTGGCCCCGCCCCAGGGGGTCATTGATTTTCCCAATATGCATATAGTAAAAACTTAAAAAATCTTCTTTTAAAGAACCCATAGAGCTAGAGCTAAGATATTTAGCATGAAACATCTTCTAATGGGTGTCTACCAAGTTTGTTCAAATAAAAGCCCTGGGGTCAAAATTGGCCCCGCCCCAGGGGGTCATTGATTTTCCCTATATGCATATAGTAAAAACTTAAAAAATCTTCTTTTAAAGAACCCAAAGAGCTAGAGTTTAGATATTTGGCATGAAACATCTTCTAGTGAGTGTCTACAAAGTTTGTTCAAATAAAAGCCCTGGGGTCAAAATTGGCCCCGGCCCGGGGGTCATTGATTTTCCCTATATGCATATAGTAAAAACTTAAAAAATCTTCTTTTAAAGAACCCAAAGAGCTAGAGCTAAGATATTTAGCATGAAACATCTTCTAATGGGTGTCTACAAAGTTTGTTCAAATAAAAGCTCTTGGGTCAAAATTGGCCCCGCCCCAGGGGGTCATTGATTTTCCCAATATGCATATAGTAAAAACTTAAAAAATCTTCTTTTAAAGAACCCAAAGAGCTAGAGTTTAGATATTTGGCATGAAACATCTTCTAGTGAGTGTCTACAAAGTTTGTTCAAATAAATGCCCTGGGGTCAAAATTGGCCCCGCCCCAGGGGGTCATTGATTTTCCCTATATGCATATAGTAAAAACTTAAAAAATCTTCTTTTAAAGAACCCAAAGAGCTAGAGCTAAGATATTTAGCATGAAACATCTTCTAATGGGTGTCTACCAAGATTGTTCAAATAAAAGCCCTGGGGTCAAAATTGGCCCCGCCCCGGGGGTCATTGATTTTCCCTATATGCATATAGTAAAAACTTAAAAAATCTTCTTTTAAAGAACCCAAAGAGCTAGAGCTAAGATATTTAGCATGAAACATGTTCTAATGGGTGTCTACAAAGTTTGTTCAAATAAAAGCTCTTGGGTCAAAATTGGCCCCGCCCCGGGGGTCATTGATTTTCCTTATATGTGTATAGCAAAAACTTAAAAAATCTTCTTTGAAAAAACCCAAATAGCTAGAGTTTAGATATTAAGCATGAAACATCTTCTAGTGAGTGTCTACCAAGTTTATTCAAATAAAAGCCCTGGGGTCAAAATTGGCCCCGCCCCAGGGGTCATTGATTTCGTTTCCCTATATGCATATAGTAAAAACTTGAAATATCTTCTTTTAAAGAACCCAAAGAGCTAGAGCTACGATGTTTAGCATGAAACATGTTCTAATGGATGTCTACCAAGTTTGTTCAAATAAAAGCCCTGGGGTCAAAATTGGCCCCGCCCCAGGGGGTCATTGATTTTCCCAATATGCATATAGTAAAAACTTAAAAAATCTTCTTTTAAAGAACCCATAGAGCTAGAGCTAAGATATTTAGCATGAAACATGTTCTAATGGGTGTCTACAAAGTTTGTTCAAATAAAAGCCCTGGGGTCAAAATTGGCCCCGCCCCGGGGGTCATTGATTTTCCTTATATGTGTATGGCAAAAACTTAAAAATCTTCTTTGAAAAAAACCCAAATAGCTAGAGTTTAGATATTAAGAATGAAACATCTTCTAGTAAGTGTCTACAAAGTTTGTTCAAATAAAAGCCCTGGGGTTAAAACTGGCCCCGCCCCAGAGGTGTCATTGTTTTTAACTATATGTGTATAGTAAAAACTTAAAAAATCTTCTTTTAAAAAACCCAATGAGCTAGAGGTTAGATTTTAAGCGGGAACCAACTTTTTGTTGGTGTCTACCAAGTTTGTCCAAATAAAAGCCCTTGGGTTTAAATTGGCCCTGCCGGGGGGGGGGGGTTCATTGTTTTTATTATATGTGTTCAAATAAAAGCCCTGGGGTTTAAACTGGCCCCGCTCCGGGGCCTATATACAGGTGAGCGACCTCAGGGCCATCATGGCCCTCTTGTTTACATAGGCTCATTGATTCATTCACTATTTTATATGGTTTATCAGTAATTCATTCAATGCTTTATATGGTTTTTCACAGATGTTTTTCATCAATTCATTCAACGGTTTACATGGTTTTTACTTTTCAAAGAATAGGAGAGAAGTGTTGTACTCACTTTGGGCTGCAGCATTTCCATCTAACTTTGGTTAAGTTTTTGCAATCCAGTTGGTATCAGGCAATTGGTTGAAACTTCACACACT